TGTTCCTCAAGGCACAGTCCCTCATGGCTTCCCTTGGCTAGGGAGGGAGTTCCCTGACCCCTTGTGCTTCCCAGGTGAGGCAACAATCTACCCTGCTTTGGCTCACCCTCCGTGGGTTGCACCCACTGTCCAACCAGTCCCAGTGAGATGAACTGGGTACCTCAGTTGGAAATGCAGAAGTCACCCACCTTTCTGCATTGGTCTTGCTGGGAGCTGCAGACCAAAGCTGTTCCTATTCTGCCATCTTGCCCGGGCACCAAAATCAATGATATACTCTTAATCATGGCCTGGTATACTTTTACTCATGGCCGTCCCATGTATTCTAAATTTACACTATGTCATTCCTTTTAGTCTAGAACTTGAAAATTCTTTCCTAGATGTGTTTCTAATCAAACCAGATAACTCCAGTATGCATCCAGAAGAAATTTTTCTTTTGAGTCATAAAATATGTTTATTTAGCTCATTACTTGCGTTTCTTGCCCTTAGCTGAATTATTTTTGACACTCTGGGAAAGAAGTCTACAAAATTCATTATTGCCCAAGTGCAACTTTATCATTCTTTTCCCTTCCTCACCCACAAAGCCTTCAATGGAAAGTTATTTTTATTTTTGTGCTTACATAAACAACTCTTTGAGCCCAAAATCCTTTAAGGAAAGTACTTCACTTCTGGCTGATGGAGTAAGTATTGCAGGGCACAGTGACAGTCCCAAGAAGAGCCACATCCACCGCGAATAGCCAGAAGGCCACGACATTGATCTGGGAACATTTTTGAAAAGTTAATGGATTCTTAAACAAAATAGATTGAATTACAAATTCACCCAGGCCATACACTTCAAATGGTTCATGATTGGCAAATTAAAAAAAAAAAATTAAATTGTGGTTAGGAATGGTAATTAAATATATAACTTGTGATACTTTATTTTCTCTGCTGTTTTTTTCATATTGTAATTTAGTTTCTAAAAATGAGACCCATAAAAACTTCCCAGAGTGAGAGGCTTTTTGGTTTTTTGGTTTGTTTGCTCTTTGTTTTTTACCGTTTCTAAGAAATACATTAAGCTTCATAATGAATTATTTCTGTTAATTTGGAAAGACTAACAATTTAATCTCATGCATGCACTTGTAAGCTATGCCAGGTAAAATAATAATAATATTTACTTTGGGTTGTTTCTAGATAATTTTTCCTTTCCTAGTTTATTTCATTTCACACTGTTTATTTTTGAAATACTTGGACACCTAGATGAAGGGAAAAAAAGATCAAAAGTCTTAAACTCTCTGACCCAGTTAAACAAACCTGTAGTAAAAATAAAAAATATTGATAAACTTGGTGGTGCTTATGTACTGTGCAAAACTATTTTTTCTTTCTCTCTCTCTCTTTTGATATACAGAAGAAACTATTGTAGAATTCTTTAAACATCAAGTTCCTTTGGCGAATTTTAATTAAACAGTGTATGTGCATTCTTGATTTATAGCCACCTTCTCAAAGACACACCTGACGGTTATTTGAAAATTTATATCAGTGTTTTATGAAGTGTTACTGTGATACAAATCTGATGTGTTATAACTGGAGGCAGAAAGTGGACTACATGTAAATTTAGATTATGAAACTAAGGCAGACAGGCAGATGCAGGTCTGTATCAAAGTTCAAGGGTCTTGAAATCGCATGGACCAAATGACGTCTTAAAATAATGTATGGCACAGAAAGACAGATGGCTAAGACATATTGTAAAAGCAAGAAAGGAAATGTGTCAAGATAAGAGAAATACCAAATTTTCCTTAACTCTGAAGGCTGATTAAATTTACACGAAGAAATGGTAAGCTTGTGTATTGAAGTTGGACAATAGTGTATGCATATGTTATGCACTGTGCGTTATAACATTCTAAACCAAAGTTCAGCTAAATATATGTAAAACAAGGGGGATTTAATTTACATTTCCAGTTGAGGTCAATGAAGTATTTATATACTTTCTAGATATAATTAAATATATCAAATATTTCTAGGTTAAAAAACCTTTGAATTCTTGGAAATAAAACTACAGTACTTGTCAAATATTTTGTAAGGTTTTACTTTCAACTCTGCTTTAGAATAGGGAGGAGCAGCAGTGACATTGTTCGACATTTTGTCGTCAGGGTAGGAAGGTCTCTCATTTATTTTAAAAGGCTGGTCAGGATTTCAGAATTTTCTAGAGCCTACATATAAAAATCCGTAGCTATAACCTGAATTCTGGGTTGTAAGACTATGTCTAAAGTAAAATTACCCAAAGTGTGGCTCAGTCTCCTACACAATAAGTTCAGATATTAAGATTACCATTTTAAAAACATTGATTGTTATTCGATATTACCGCAATAATCCAAGAACAGGATCCCTTTTTTAACCATTTGGTTTTATTGTATTTTACAAATACTGTTCTGCAATGGATGGGAATTAAAATGACACCACCACTACCAACAGCTAGTCCTTCACCACAGAGAGTTTGAGAATCACTGTCTAGAATGGAACATCATAAATGGGAACACAGCAAGATGCAGGGAATCCTGTTTCTACTGCAGGAACAGCTGTTTGGATGTGGTCCAGGTTGCTCTGAAAAGCTGTGGGTGATATTAGAGCCAGACATGAAACTGCATTTCTGAAAAAAAAGTAAAAGCATGAAGCTCACTGGTTATACTTGCATCCCATTTAACCATGAGCATTTTTTACAGAATTGTTTTATAAATGAAACCAGCATCTGCTCTGACCTGCAGCATTTGTCTTTAGTAGAAGCACATTTTTTTTTTACTTTGCTTTGTCCAAACAAGCAGAGGCCAAGCAAGAGGAACTTTGCATACCCAAGAGGAGATTGTTTTCTACTCTTGAGAATAAGTATTAATAGGGTTCAAGTGGTACAGTCCTGTGGAGTAGGGGAGAAAGGCCAGACAAGTTTCTTGGGGTTTCAGTATGGCTTTTTTCTCAATAGTTACATGGGCCTCAGTTTTCTCATCTGTAAAATGAATGTGATGATACCCCTTGCTTCAAAAGCTGGTAATGAAGATTAAGTGAATTATAGATTGAGAATTCCTAATCCTAAAATTAAAAATCTGAAATGCTCCAAAGTCCAAAATGTTTTGAGCACTGACATGATGCTACAAGTGGGAAATTTTACAGAGAAGTAATTAACACAAACTTTGTTTTTATGCGCAAAATCATTAAAAATATTACATAAAATTATCTTCAGATCATGTATATGAAGTTTATATGAAATGTAAATGAATGTTGTGTTTAGACTTGGGTCTAACACCCAAGATACCTCATTATACAACTACAAATATTTCCTAATCTAACAAAAATCTCAAATCCAAAACACTTCTGGTCTCAAGCATTTCTGATAAGGGTTACTCAATCTGCATATACTATATTAGAATGCTTAGAGCAGCACCTGGCACATAACAATTGCTAGGTAAGGGGGGCCTATTACTATAAATCACAGCATCTACTTCCTGGCAAGCTAATGAGTCTTCCAAAACAGTCACGCTGTTTTTTAATAGTCCACATCCTAAATTAAATTGGCTAGTCCCAAGGCCATGTGCTTCTCAATTTGAGAGATTATTTAACATCAACATGGGTGGTTTGCTAGATGGACAGATTGAAATGAATGCCCAGGCTCTGCTCCAGAGGGGTTATATTTAAGAGAAACCCCTTGAGGGAAGCTATGATGATAGAGTAATACAAGTCAGGGCAACCCCAATTCTTCTTTTACATGTTCTTAGTGCCAGGGTCATCTAACTCACTCTGGAATAAAGCAGAGCTCCTTTTTAAATATCTTCTCAGGACCCCAAGTTCACACATCAATTCAGACCTGTACATTTCAATAGCCCTTTCCTATAAGGATCAAAATCATATTAATCTGGTATAAAATCACCTAATTCAGATTTCCTTGTTTCATATTTAAAATATTACTTTTAAGAGCTTAGCAATATCTTAGCAACAGCTGCTTCTGAGTTCAACTTGAGGCTTTCTAGGGCTTATTCCATGATTTATAGGTTTCTTTCTTCATCCAGAAGGAGACAGCATCGCCCTTTGCCTGCTGGCATTTTACCCAGCACTTGAATCGAAAAGTAACTCCAGCTGTCCTGGTCTTGTGACTCCCTTAAACCCGTTTGAGTCAGTTCTTACATCCTAGCACTTTTCCAGCCACGATTAAGTTCTTTAAATGGCCCCGTGATGGGCCAGTTTTCACCCCTGGAGCACAGACAGAAAGTTTTGTGGTTTCAGCACTGAGAACATGTGGCTTTTCTGGTCCATACAATTCTTTCAAGGTGGCAGACTTCACGCAGCTGTCACATGGTGCCTTGTACTCAAACTTGTGTGATGACCCCACTACTGCATTTTTTTGGGGGAGGAAGCCTTTTAGACACAGAGTGATGGTGATTCTAGATTGAGGGAGACAGCTCCTTTCAGAAATAAAAAAGCTGCAGCATTTTTTAGCGTTGCTGGTAAATATGCTTCAACTCAAGAAAATTTGGCTTTGATGTGTGGTTCTGTTGCTCTTGGCTAGGATCCATCCTTTCTAACTGAAAGAAGAAAATGTTGGGGTCTGATTATCTCTGAAGGAGGAAAGAGTGGAAGGCTGACTTTGCAAAAGGATACTTAAGTAAAATAAAACGATAAGCAGCAGGCTGGATTATAGAATGAGCTCTCTCAATCCATAAACACCTGCTATCTAAACAGGCCATTATTCTCTTTTCTGGATACTTTACAAATTCCAAGAAGATGCTGAGAGAATATTCCTTAGAGCTTAAGAGCTTCAAATTTAAACCTTCTGTATTAGTTGATTACAAACTAAGGGTTACTATGGTGGGAATTTCAGGGAGAAACGCTTTTGCATGAATGCCCTTTCTTTTCTGCTCACTCTCAAAGCACATCTCTTTGCTTTTGATTATTTCAAAATGCCTGAAGTCATGCTCGATTAGTGAATCAGTGGAAGCAGGGGTCTCTCTAAGACCACGATCCTTTGCTTTTTTGTTCAGGTTATGGTGCCTGGAAGCCAGAACAATCTCCTTCTGAAGTCTCTGCTTCCTGATACTGAATACAAAGTCACAGTGACTCCCATCTACACAGATGAAGAAGGCGTTAGTGTCTCTGCCCCTGGAAAAACCTGTAAGTTGAAGCTTTCTCCCTTTGGATATAATCCAACTCACTAATTGGAAATGCTTGGCCCCTGCAATGCACCCTGAAAGATACAGTAGATTGTAGTGAAGAAACAAAAAGATTTGGAAACAGCAAATCTGTCTGCATCCTGTCTTCACACACTCAAGCTATGTGACTTTGAGCAAATGGCTTAACTGTTCTGGGCTGCAGTTTCCTTTTCTGTGGAAGTAAAGATGTGAAAAACCACTTCATCTTTCTCTTCCAGTATTTAATTCATCAAGATCCTGTTGATTGATCAAAATGTATTCTACATGCCTGTCTAATTTCTCTTCACCTAACAGGTGCACTGTAGTCCAAACCACACTTTCTCTTTTATTTTATTTATCTATTTTTATTTCCATGGGTTTTTGGGGAACAGGTGGTATTTGGTTACATGGGTAAGTTCTTTAGCGGTGATTTGTGAGATTTTGGTGCGCCCATCACCCGAGCAATATACACTGGACCCAGTTTGTAGCCTTTTATTCCTCATCCCCTTCCCACAGTTTCCCTGGAGTCTCCACAGTCCACTACCATATCTTTTTTATGCCTTTATCTTCATAGTTTAGCTCCCACTTATGAGTGAGAACATACGATGTTTGGTTTTCCACTTCTGAGTTACTTCACTTAAAATAAGTCTCCAATTCCATCCAGGTTGCTGCAAATGCCATTAATTCATTCCCTTTTATGCAAGCCACACTCTTTCTCATCCAGATGAGTGTACTAGCTCCTGTCAAGTCTTCCTGCTTCCACTCGTGCCATCCCTTATTCTTCTTATAACAGCTTGAGGAAGTTTTCAGCAGATAAATAATCTGCACCTCTGTTTTAAGCTTCCAAATGGCTTCTCACTGTACCCAGGATAAAATCCTGTGCCCTTCCTATGCCTTACAAAGATTGTTCTAACACCTGGAACCTGCTGATCTCTTTGATCTCCCCTCCTAGCCTTTTCCCCAGCCATGCCCACAGCCATACCTCCCCTCCTGCTCTCTGCGGGACTCTTTGAAGTTGTTCCTGCCTTAGGCCCCATGCTCTAGTGATTCCTTCTACATGGAATATGCTTTCCCAGATGTTTGCATGTCAGAATTTTTCTTGTCATCCTGGTCTAAACTCAATGTCACCTCCTCAGATTTTTCTGGCTACCCGATGCAAAGTAGCCCCCACTGTCTATGATATTGTCCTTTTTTGTTTGTTGCTTTGGGTCATATCATGGCTGTAATTACTCTCTGGTATTTTCTTAATTATTCATGTATTTTCTCACTGTCTGTCCCCCATCTCTGGAAGGCAAGCATCATGAGAACCTGGGGCCTCATCAGTACTGTTCACCTCTGCATGCCAAGCTCCTATAGTGCTGGGTGGCACAAAGGAGGCATCAGGCAACACTTGTTTAAGATGAATTGGCCATGGTTGTCAAATGAGAAAGATGCATTCAACCCTTGGTTAAAATACAGAGTCTTCGTTTTCTTCATTATTGATGTGATTGTCTATACTTGCATAAAGACTGCTCTGGACCTAATGGCTTAAAACAGTGACCTTTTTATTTTAAATTACATCTCACAACTGTGTGGGTCAGGGAACTAGGCAGGAGTTGCTGGGAAATTCTACTCCACATGGGATTGATTAGTGCCATCTGGTGGTATTCACTTGAGGTCTGGGCTGGTCTGGAGAGTACAGCGCAAGTTTACCCACATGCCTGGAATCTTGGTGGGGGTGGTGAGCAGGCTGGGCTGTGTCTGTCTGTCTGTCTGTCTCTGTCTGTCTGTCTCTCTCTCTCTCCATTAGTCTTAAAGCTTCTCCATGTGGTCTTTCCAGCAGAGCAGTCATATTTCTTTCATGTCAGCTCAGGACTGTAACAGCAAAAGTTTTAAGAGGTAGAAAATGAAAACTCTAGTGTCACTTCTGCTGCAGTCTCTTTATTGGTTAAGGTAGTGATAGAACTTACCCAGATTCAAAGAAACACTCATCGCCCCACCTGTCAATGGGAAGGAGTGTCGAAAACTCTGTGACCATCTTTATCCATCATAATTACCAAAGAGTGACATGTGGCTAGTTTCAAAATGGTGTCAAGGGCTGAATTCTGTACCTGGGCACCTAAGTGTGGCGTTTTCAACTAAGTCTGTGCAAATCATTAAAATTCTGAAGCCCAGAGTCCTGATTCTGCTCCGCTGGGTAAATAGGCATCCTCTCCTCATTTAACAGTGCTGACACCTCTCCCTCTTCCTGTGCCATCTGCCTCCACCCAGACTGCCACCAAGCCTGCACAGTTTGCTAAAGGTCACCCAGAGTATTGTGAGCTCTCGGAGCTGCTATAGTTTTTTTCCCCAGGGGACATGAGGAAGGAGAGAAGGAAAACAGAAGAGCAGAGCTATATGGAGATTTCAAACTTTTCACTCCACCTTTACCAGTATATTGGCATCTTGATTTGGTCTATGCATTGGAATTTCTAGCATATGTTGGTATGTTGCTTCTAAATAAATGTTTGAAAACCAAAACCACAGATTTAAGCAACAATTAAAGAAAACATCAAGTAGTATTTACCTATCAAGGTAAATACTTGCTATTATTTTTTTATCTTTAAATAAAAATATTTCAAGATTATTACTATGGAGATAGGGCTTAAATCTTGTTATAGAAATGCTGTTACATCCTAACAGTCTCTATATGGTCAAATTATTTTGAAGTGTTAGTGGATGATCTAAGCAGTGATTAAGCAGTGGCCAACACAACTAAGTTTTATCAACAACAAAATGATAATGACAAAATGTATAAACATTTACAATAGTCATCCATAGAAATGACTGTCATGTTTTGATAAAAAATGGGTAAGTAATAATATAAAATGTCAAACAATATAGGAAATATGAAGATGAAAGCAAAAAAAATTAGAATTTTACCTCTGAGAATAATCAGCATTAATATTGTATGAACATGCCCCCAGTATTGCTGTTCACATATGCTTAGTATAACAGAGTGGCACGGAGATAGACATTTCTAATAAACACGATTCAATTTGATTATACTTAAAATTGAAATTGATCAAAAGGGAACCCAAATAATATTGAACGACTTCTAAATTTCAGTTAAAAGTGTTTTGTCACAAGAGCAATTATTTTCCATATATTTAATACTGAAGGCCGAGTGTGGTGGCTCACGCTTGTAATCCCAGCACTTTGGGAGGCCAAGGTGGGCAGATCACGAGGTTAGGAGACTGAGACCATCCTGGGTAACATGGTCAAACCCCATCTCTACTAAAAATACAAAAAATTAGTCAGATGTGGTGGCCATGCCTGTAGTTCCAGCTACTTGGGGGGCTGAGGCAGGAGAGTCACTTGAACCCAAGAGAAGGAAATTGTAGTGAGCTAAGATTGAACCACTGGGCTCCAGCCTGGGTGACAGAAAGAGACTCTGTCTCAAAAAAGAAAAGAAAAGAAAAGAAAAGAAAACAACCACAGATTCTCAAAGGCTTCTCATTGTGTGTTTCAGTGCACTTTCACTTTTAAATATTTTTAATTTTGTTGGACGATATCTTAGATTTTGGTGACAATAGTATAGGGCATAAAGAAGGAAATTACACTGAATCCCTGTTTTTCCTTTTCTTTTCTGCTCAGTGCCATCCTCGGGGCCCCAGAACTTGCGGGTGTCTGAGGAATGGTATAACCGGTTACGCATTACGTGGGACCCCCCGTCTTCCCCGGTGAAAGGCTACAGAATTGTCTACAAACCTGTCAGTGGTAAGTAGTGCTTTGTAAATAATATTGATACCATGAGTAGTCACTTAAAATGTCTTTTAAGATAAATTGTTTTCTTATAACACTTTATGTTTGCTTGTATTTTTTAAAAGTAGGGAAAACCTCTTGCTTGTTTTAGAAAAATAAAGTGTTTTAGTATGGTTAGTGATAGGGTAGATGTCATCAGGATGGTGAAGCTATGACATCACATAAAAAACTATTGGACACATTAATTAGAAGAATATATATTGGGTATATAACTGACCTAATCATACCCCAGACCAGGAACCAACCTAGGGAAACCTTGACTTTATAGGAATAGGAAGCGTTAAGTTCAATGAAGATGTAAGTTCTAAACATTTGGAATCTCTAATTTCAAAGTTCTCTTCTACCTCTTATTTCTTGGATTAGTTGGAAAATTTTCATTTACCAACTTCTTAGTCTCCCCAGTTTGGAAACTATATAGGTGGGAAAAAAAACTCATTACTGTAGTAAAATGCTTTCCCACCAGTCTCTTAGCCACCTCCATAAAGGGATCCCGCTCACCTCTCCCTCGCACATCATTGTATCTTGAAGGCATGAGAATGATCCACATAGAGGGCAATCATACCCTTGGTCTGTATGGCTGTGAAGAGGAGACCATGTGTTCCAGCGCCTCTTACACTCCCATCTCCCCATTCTTAGCAATGTTTAAACAGGAGACTAAAATCAATGTCATTAGGGTCTTCTCAGTTTTCTAGACCTGGGGCCTGCAGTACTCTAGATGTTCAGCAGAAAGGGCATCTCCAATTATTTTTCTTAAATTGGCAGGAAAATCACAGTGGCTCATGCCTGTAATCTCAGCCCTTTGGGACACTGAAGAGGGTGGATTGCTTGAGACCAGCCCGGGCAACATGGCAAGACTCTGTCTCTACAAAAAATGCAAAAATTAGTCAGATGTGGTGGCGTGCACCCGTAGTCCCAGCTATCTGGGAGATTGAGGTGGGAGAATCGCCTGAGCCCGACAAGTCAAGGCTTCAGTGAGCTGTGATCACACTACTGCACTCCAGCCTGAGCAGCAGAGCAAGACCCTGTCTCAAATAATAATAATAATAAAGCATAAACACTTTCTGCCTTCAAAAACTCCATTAGTCTCAATCTTTTATCTGAGATGCAGTTCTTGCCCCATATCAATTTTCAGGCTTTTCTATTCTGTCCAATTATCCAGGTGCTATTGTCTTCAGGCCCAAAAGACAAATACTCCCACCTCCAGTTTCTCCAGACAAACATCCTTATAAACCAGGAAAATAAAATAGTAAGAATAGAACATGGATGTACTAGCCTGCTCCAGGATCATTGTTTGGGACCCATCCCCAGTGTTTTTGTCTCTTTGCTTGAAGAGACATGTGTTTGCTTGAAGGCCTGAGGCATGTGTTAATTTGCAAGACAGTCTTGCTTAATTTGTTCTTTGGATCATTTTACAAGCACTGATCCGGCCTCTTAAGCACAAAAAGCTTTGTTTTAGGCCAGTGGTTCTCGTGTTGGTGCCATTTGCCCCCCAGTAGGGACATTTTTGATTGTTATAACTGGCAAGAGAGGACTCTCTCCTGGAATCTAATGGGTACTGCCAAACATCTTACAGTTGACAGTACTTTTCTGCCCCAGAATAAAGAATTGTTCAGTCCCAAATACTGATAGTGCTGACGCTGAGAAATCCTGTTCTAGGCCAAGTGGGAGAAATATACATGTATGGTCATTTGCATTGTATGTGTGGAGCATGGGAAAATCGCTACTGAGTTAACACATACATAGAGAAACATAAATGTATTGTTGGAAGGGGGCTTCTGGAGGAAAGTGATGAGTCTTTTGAGAACTTGTAACTAACTTAAAGCTCTTAAAGAATGAGCACGTATGGGAGGAGGCAGGACGTAAATAAATTTGTATAGGCTTTCGCAAGGAATGTGTTTAATGCTTCATTAAAGACCCCATTAGATTGAAAAAGAGGTGAAAACATAAAGGCCTGAAAATGCTAGCTAAGCAAGGGACTTGGAATAAGAGCATTATCTGTCTGGTATTAAACATCCTAAAAGGAGCAGATAAAACTGCAGTGGTAGCATTGATGCTGGTTGACCAAGTGGCAAGGTATGGCCTCGTCTCCAGGATAAAATTTGCTATGACTGTTGGTTACCTTAGAAGGGGCAATTGAGAATTCTTTCTTTCTTTTCTTTTCTTTCTTTTTTGAGATGTCATTTTGCTCTTATTGCCCAGGCTGGAGTGCAATGAGGTGACCTCAGTTCACTGCAACCTCCACCTCCCAGGTTCGAGCAATTCTCCTGCCTCAGCCTCCAGAGTAGCTGGGATTACAGGCGTGCTCCATCACACCCAGCTCATTTTGTACTTTTAATAGAGATGGGGTTTCTCCATTTTGGTCAGCCTGGTCTTGAAATCCTGAATTCCTGACCTCAGGTGATCCACCTGCCTTGGCCTCCCAAAGTACCAGGATTACAGGTGTGAACCCCCACGCCTAGCCGAGAATTATTTCTTTAATTGGGCAAATTCCTCAATTGCCAATTACAACATAGTACATAACCATATAGCAGATGGTAGACTGTGAGGTGGACCAACTTCTTTGAATAAGCACAAGGATAAAACTATATTTGGGGAAAGGACAAGGTCCCTAAAAATAACCTTTAGCACAGCAGTTTTTAGAGCTAGATGAGACCATATTCAAACCTCAACCCTGCTGTCTGCTTGCTGTATAACCTAAGCAACTGAAAAGCAGTTGAGTGAGTACAATTTGACTAAGAGTGCCTCTATTTTTCCGTATTTTGTTGTAACTAAAATATATACTCTTTATTCTTTAGTTCCTGGCCCAACACTGGAAACGTTTGTGGGAGCTGACATTAACACCATTCTTATCACAAATCTCCTCAGCGGAATGGACTACAATGTGAAGATATTTGCCTCCCAGTCCTCAGGCTTCAGTGATGCCCTGACAGGCATGGTGAAAACATGTAAGAGTCATGTCCAGTGGCCTCAGCCGCACATGGGGTTTTGCTGCTTTGTTTTCACTGTAACTTGTCATTCAACCCCTGCTTCCATTTGGTCGTTCATTTTTCCTTTGCTCCGCGTTGCCCTTTCTGGATGGTATTTCATGGAAAGAAAGGTGTGCTGTTTATTCCGAGTAGTTCAAAGTCCTGGTTGGCAGGCGAGATGTCAGTACCTTGCCTTGAAATACACTTGATGACTGCAGATCGGATTTCCTTCTGGAAAGTCTGTGTTGGCATTTTTCAAAGGAGGTGAAATTTTCCAAACAGCCTGTAGCCCGAGATGGCCAATGTCAAAAGTTGGAGCAGGAGGAGGTTTGTCTTTTCTCAGAGCGGTCACTCCACCCCCTTGCACATGCACACACACCATCCATCAAAAGTACATGCCACACCCCTCTAAGGACTTCCTTCTCTAGCCTTTTAAGGGTTTTCATGTTGTCTGCACACCATCTGGGACTTCTCATTGGCATACACCACTCCCAGACGCCCAGGCGGTAATGCAATGTTTTCCAAATTCCAGCACGTATGTTCTATATTCCTGAAGTTTGTTATATCTCTGCATGATCTGTTTAATATATTTATTTGGATTGACTTAGAGTTTTTGACCTAAATCCTTTTCAAAATCCATGTAATTACCCTAAACTGCAGATCAGTATTTTTATTAACATATTAAAAAAATATTTTCTCCTCTACTAGCTTTCTAGCTAGATATTTTAAATTTTTATAGATATCCTAGAGATTTCAATATGAATCCTTAGCTTATTCCAGTCTACCTTAAATTACTGCTTTTTAATTTTTTTTTTTTTTGCGACTGAGTTTAGCTGTGTCGCCAGGCTAGAGTGTAACCTCTCTCTTGAGTTCAAGCAATTCTCCTCTCTCAGCCTCTCGAGTAGCTAGGATTACAAGCACATACCACTACGCCCAGCTAATTTTTGTATTTTTGGTAGAGATGAGGTTTCACCATGTTGGCCAGGATGGTCTCGATTTCCTGACCTCGTGATCTGCCCACCTCAGCCTCCCAAAGTGCTGGGATTACAGATGTGAGCCACCACACCTGGCCAAATTACTGCTTTTATGGCTTAAGAATTTTTAATGATGTATAGTACCTTCTTCCTCTTTGCTACTGTTTTTCTATCTATTTTGTAATTCTATTATAAACTCCCTAAGATACTATGATTGTTGTTTCAAATACTCACTGTTCTTTCATTTTTTCTACCTTTATTAAGGCATAATTGGCAAATAAAAATTGTAGTAGATACATAGATCTGCAATCTTCAATGTGATGATCTATGTTTATAATGCATAATGACCACAATCAAATTATTTTTTTGAAGTATACATTTTATTTTCTTTTTTGATAGTCAAATGACATCTTCATTATTTTTTTATTTATTTAAAAAATTTCAATAGCCTTTGGGATGTAAGTAGTTTTTGGTTACATGGATAAATTCCATAGTGTTGAATTCTGAGATTTTAGTGCACCCATTACTGGAGCACTATATGCTATACCCAATACGTAGTCTTTCATCCCTTACCTCGCTTCCAAATCTCCCCCTCAAATCCCCAAATTCCATTATATCACTCAAGATTTTAAGTCACATTTTAAAACACACATTAAAGATAACACATAAATGACGCAAAGAAAAGTGGTTTGGCTGTGTGCTCATCAGAATAATCCTGAGTGCAATCAACAGCACATGCCCTGCCCTTGAGATTGTATTGATGATGCTATCAAAAGGATAAGCCTCAAATCTGCTGCTTATTAGTGTGGCCTTGGGCAAATTGCTTAACTATCCTCAGCCCAGGCTTTTTAAATTCTAAAATGAAGATAATAATAAACATCTTTCAGGCTAATTGTGAGGATTGCAGAAAAATGTATGTAACGTGCTTATAATGTGGCAAATATTCAGTGAATCACCGCTGCTATTATTGTAATGATTGGGCTTTATGCACTTGGCCTATATCTTACTCTCATCCCTAATAAATAATTAATCTAATCAATGCTGTCAGTCAAGATTGGGCTATATATTAATCCAGAGCCCAACATTTCCCGATTGCATATAGGGCCAGCCCTTTTATAGAGGAGGCGTACTGAATTCTCTGTCATGGAATACTTAAAGGCTAGATATTGAATAAATTTATCTCGAAAGAAATAGTCTCCATCTTCCACAGACCTAGGAAGCCTTTGGCTGTGCTTCTGATCTTGTGCTTGACTGTTGATGGGATCCTGTTGTGGTTTCACTAATGAAACCTCCAAGTATTTCCCCTGTTGTGCTCCTATGGCAACCTCACAGCTTTCCTTCCTTACACCACAGCATCCCCTGTAGCTAGGATTACAGGTATACGCCACGACACCCAGCTAATTTTGTAGTTTTAGAAGAGACGGGGTTTCACCATATTGGCCAGGCTAGTCTCAAACTCCTGACCTGAGGTGATCCACCTGCCTCTCTCGGCCTCCCAAAGTGATGGGATTACAGGCGTGAACCATGGCACCTGGCCCTATGATTTTTTATTGGTCTCTTTTCTCCCTAGTCTTTCTTGTCTTTTTCTATCCTCTTTTCTCTTCCCCCTCTTTAATTCTGTTTCCTCTCCCTTCTCTCCCTTAATAAGTATATTGAGCATTCCAAACATTTTAAAAGACTGAGAGTGTTGAATTGTTTTATGTTCTTGTCCTTAAAATATAAATTAAGTGGGTTTATTATTTATTCCCTCTCTTTCTCCCAAGCAAAAGAAAACGTCCCACAATGGCAAATAATATAAGGTATTTAAAAAATATTTTGTGTGGTTATATAAATTATTAACTGATAAAACTTATATAAATTAGGCTGGGTACAGTGGCTCACCTCTGTAATTCCAGCACTTTGGGAGGCCAAAGCAGGTGGATCACCTGAGGTCAGGAGTTTGAGACAAGCCTGGCCAATGTGGCAAAACCCTGACTCTACTAAAAATACAAAAGTTAGTTGGGTGTGGTGGCATTCTCCTATAATCCCAGCTACTCAGGAGGCTGAGGCAGGAGAATCACTTGTACCCAGGAGGTGGAGGTTGCAGTGAGACGAGATTTCTCCACTGCACTCCAGCCTGGGTGACAACAGCGAGACTTTGGTAAAAAAATAAAATAAAATAAAGTTATATAAGTCAATTAACATTAATTTTATTTGTTTTTGTTAGGGGAAAGAGGGATTGTTTAATTGGCTTTAGGGAAAAAAGTCTTCTCTCTCTCCTATAACAGAAAGGAACAACGTAAAGGTGTGAATTGTAGTTAGACAAGATTACTTTTACCATCTTGAAAAGATAATCCTCAGGTATTTTTATTTTGTGAGTAAGCTAAGAGAGAGAAATAAGAGCAAATGATATGAATGGAAGTCGGAGGTCACTAGGAAAAGCAAATACGTTGATTTTCTGCTTGGATCCAAGTGATAAACACTGGATACTTACTCTTCTATTGTCTTGGCAAAACAATATTTTATTGCCTCCCCAAACAACCATTTCGCATATCGCAGTGTTCTAAGATTAGTCGGAACCTAGGTATTTTTAAAATAATTTGTGTTATCTGTGTAAGATATTTTTAAATTTTCAAGTGTGTTCATTCAATCGTATTTTGAAGACCAGTCCTTGTGAGAGTGTTCCTGTTTGCAGAACACCTCCGTTTTGTGTATTTTACTCTTCTCTTTCTCAGCCCTGGCTATCTCATCAGCTGCTAAGTACATACTGTATTTACTTCTTAAATTAGAAAACTATTATATGTTTACTGTGTAATATTCAGAAAAACACAAGTAAATAAAGGGGATAAGATTTCAAATTACTCCAAATTTTAATTTTTCCTTTGCATCTGGTCTTTTTCCTATGAACATGTATTTCCTCTTCTATTTAAAATAGCAGACAGGGCCAGTAATGGTGTCTCATACCTGTAATCCTAGCACTTTGGAAGGCTGAGGCAGGCAGATGGCTTAAGCTCAAGAATTTGAGACCAGCCTGAGCAACATGGTGAAACACTGCCTCTACTGAAAAACAAACAACAAAATTAGCTGGGTGTAGTAGCACATGCATGTGGTCCCAGCTACTCAGGAGGCTGAGGTGGGAGGATTACTGGAGCCCAGGAGGTTGAGGCTACAGTGAGCTGAGATCATGACATTGCACCCCAGCCTGGACTACAGAGCAAGAGCCCCGTCTCAAAACAAACAAATAAATAAACTAGCAGACAGACCACATCATGAAATATGTTTTGCACCCTGTTTTCTCGAGTGATAAAACATTTATCTTTTGTACACTAACTTATTGTAAATTGATGGATTTCTCAGCTCTGAGTACGCAGCTTTGAATGAAAATTTTTCCAGAAGTTAATTTCAGATTCAGGCATGCTTGTGATATTGTCTGTAGTGTGACACAGTTATGTTTCCGTTTTATTCCAGTGTTCTTGGGTGTTACCAATCTCCAGGCCAGACACGTTGAAATGACCAGCTTGTGTGCTCACTGGCAGGTCCATCGCCATGCCACGGCCTACAGGGTCGTTATAGAATCCCTCCAGGGTAAGTACAATTCATCACTTATGTTTTTGTCAAGCATTTGTGTGTTTGGTTCTTTGCACACCCTTGTGGACAACACACAAGTAGCGTTAGGCAAGAGCCCTCTTGTCGAGGAAGCAATTTGTATGGGTCAGTCATGCAGCATATGGAGTCAGGCTGGTTGGGTAAGCAAAATACTAACCCTCTGCAAAACTCCCTTTTTCTTATCTGGTAATGGGTAAAACCATGGTGATGATTTTGTAGAGTTCTGTGAAGATAAAGCCGAGATAGTACAAGTAAAGCGCTTGCAACAGTGCTTTGTGTACTGGAAGCACTCCGAAAATGTTAGCAGCCAGGTATCCAGGACTAGCATACGTTAAAATTATATTGTGCTATAATGTTGGTATTCACTTTCTAGGGATCAAGTTTAAATTTAATGTTTTTCTTAGTATTTCTTCTTTTGGGGAAAATTGGCAAAAAACAAACCCTCATTTCAGAGAAGATGTAATATATCTACACCATCATGAACAAGTTCTTCAGCATCACAGTTCTCATGTACGTCCGCAATTTGGGAGTCTGTTCCAAAGCTGAAACAGTAAAAATGTCTCACCGTCTTCATTAAAAATATCAACAACAACAACAAATGACCGATTCCCCGAAAATGAATATCCAGGGCCAGTTAGTCTTCTTTTCACACTGTCAGCATGGACACTATTCAGAAGATGAAATCAAATAGAGAAAATTACTAAATCAGATTTATATTAACAATAGAAAGATAATGTCAGCCAGGTGTGGTGGCTCACGCCTGTAATCCCAGCACTTTGGGAGGCTGAGGCAGGAGAATTGTATGAACTCAGGAAGCAGAGGTTGCAATGAGCCGAGATTGCACTACTGCACTCCAGCCTGGACAACAGAGTGAGATTCCATCTCAGAAAAAGAAAAAAGATATGTCTTGTTATTTTGTGGGATTATAGGAGATACTAAAGAATCCAAAATGAATTTTTAAAATATTCCAAACTTGGGAGTAAAATTGTTAAAAATGTAGCCTATTATTTCTGGACATATGATCTTGGTTTTCACCTTTCAGAAAAGCAAAAAGACCTAATTATTTCTAGTCCAGATAAGACTGGGTATAGTATCCCATATCCCTGACTATAACTACATTCAAAATCCCTAAATCCCATTTTTGATCCAATCCGTAAAGTGAAAGTGTAGTTTAGGAGAGCATTGAGCACATTTGGAAATATGTCCCTGTAGAGTAAGAACTGAGATAGGTGGAACACACTAGAAGAAATTCCTCCCAACCCCAGTCAAGATATCATTACAATAGGCATGCAGCACTACTGCTTCCTTGAATCCCTGTATATGATGTAAGGATCCTTCCAGGCTGACATTGGCTTGACATTAGGGAGTGGCATTAATCTGGAATAAACATTAAGGGAGAGAAAATCAGGATAAGTCACATGGATTTTGTGATTGTGTTAAATATGATTTATGGGATGCCAGAAGCAGATAAAGCACAGGCAACAATCTGAGGAACAACTATGAAATCTTGAGGAGTTATGTTTCATATATTTCTATAAATCACACTTTAATATAGAAGAGTTGACATTTAGTGGTATTTGTTAAGGCTAAAAAAAAATACTAAGCGTAATAATCGTCCTCCCAAACTATCCCATAATACTTTTATCCTTTTATATGATTTAGGAAATTGAAATGAAGGGATGTGGGTTCCTGTAGATATTTGTTGCCTTTCGTAAAAATTTATAACTATATATGTTGACACAACGATGTATAAAAACTGGCTTTATCAGTGGAACCAGTAAGACTCATAGCTTTTAAAATTAAATGCTTTTAGTTTAGCATATTTACAAAGCAGCTTTGAGACTTTAATCAGAGGATATGATTGATTTGTCTAATAACATTGATCTGGTCATCGAACACTGCAATAAGCTCTTTCTGAAGCCAAGATCTTTGCTGGCAAGTAAATGAGTCCACATTTGCTTTTTATCTTCAAGTTAAGTGAACTTGTACTCCCTCAGCGTTAGTTTTAGGCTGCCAGAATTTTTTTCAGCTGAACCTTTATAGTCTTAATTGAACAAGAATGAAAAAAAGTGTTATTCAATTTACTTCTCATCAACATTTGTTGCTGAGAGATTTATGAAAGAGAATTAGCCACATCTCATTCACCCAGTTGTCTTTCTGAATATTGTTTATCAGCTGGACAGCAAAAGATTCTAATTGACAGCTTGAAAAGGAATGCTGGATGGAGGAGTGGGTGTGGGGGTGGCAGTAGGAAATGTGTTTAGATATTTTAAACCACACAGTTTAGATCAAGGAATAGTCTTTCTACTGTGGAATGGAGAAGAATTACGTTGAGTTTCATAATCTTAAAGAGAAATGTGGTCACCATCCTGAATCACTGCCTTTAAAGGATTTGTGGTAAGATGCCCATTCTTCATGGGCAGATGAATCCCAGACCCTCAGGTGTTTTGACTGTAATGTTGGCTATATTTGCTGTCTCTGGAGAAATTTCAGTCTTTCCACCCCAGGCAAAGGCGATACTAGGAATAAATGAGACCCTGTTTCCCCACGTGTTGGAGAAAAGCTTTATCCCAGTTGACCTCTTTCTGAATGCCTCTGTCAAATCCCTACAGTTTGATGGATCATTTTTTTCCATTTTTTCCCATATAGTTTTTCATAGCTTGGGCATGTGCATTTTTATTCTGAGATTGAGTCAGCGATGAAGGACCCCACTGTAACCACAACTGCTGGTCAACTTTCTTCATTGGGCTTCAGCTTCTCTAAAATTATTTCATTCCAGGCTATTTATTAAGTGAGTCAGTAACTGCAAAATTGCAAGGTTTTTGTGAGTAGAATAGCCACACTGTATCATTCAGGTTTGTTTATTATATTCGCAGAAATCTAGATGAAAGAAACTTAAGCAAAAGGGTCTTTTATTGGCTAGTATTCTGAGAAGTCCAAAAGTCTCTGGCTTCAGGCACATCTGGACCTAGATGTTCAGTGTCCTGAAGATAAAGTCTTGCTCCTTGTGTTTTGCTCTCCTCTGCCTTCGTTTTCAGCCAGCCTCTGAGTCAGATCCAGAATTATATTCACCCAGCTTCCAGCTTACCAGTCTTGGTGAAAAGACAGCTTCTCTTTCTCAATACTTACAACAGAAGTCCAGGAACTGACTCATATTGGCCTGGTTTGGGTCACATGCCTCTAAATCTGTCATTGAGTGCAAGGGCATGAAATAAACTGACTGCTTGGACGGGTTGCCTTCCACCCCTGTATCGGGTGGTGGTGGCAGGAGGTGGGGTTGTTATCCAATCTTCCCCAAACCATAAAGACCAAGAGTGAGGAGGAATGGATGCAAAGCAAAAGATTTCAGATACAAGACAGGCAAAAACAACAGATGCCATTTACCCGTGTAAATATTATGACATTTTTATGGCCAAGAAAAAAAAGATTACCAGAAGGACAAGGTCTTCTCAGGAAAGACTGAAATAAAATCTACTTTTGAGTCAGTCATCCATTTGCCAAATTAAATTACAGGTTTTTGGTTAATCCTAGGACAGTCCAAAGTGAGAGATTTTTGATTGGTCTTGGTAATTCAGAGCCCTGTGAGAACCTCCATTCGTTCTGCAGAGGCTCTGGGACTTTTGTCCCTCTCTCCAGCTGTTTTGGAGTTGCCTTGGCACCTAAGGTTGCCTTCAAATTCATGTATTTATTAATTCATGCCAGATAGGTCCAAACACTTTATTCCCACCCTAATCCCCACAACTTGATGAACGTCTTTGTAGCCTGCTTAGATAAAGGTTCAGAGGATGCTCCTCTTGCCCCTATTTAGGTGCCGAGACGTCAGCTTTGCAGTATTATTTGTTGAGAAGGATAGAGAATTGCAGCATAGTGGACAGCCTGCCTTACCAAAGACCAGGTCCACAAAAAAAAAAAAAAAAAAAAAAAAAAAAAAAAAAAAAAAAAAAAAAAAAAAAAAAAAAAAAAAAAAAAAAAAAAAAGATCTTATGGAACAAAACCTATTATCAAAAGTAAACTTTTTGAAGCAATGACATTATGGGAAGTAGAATTATTTACATCATACAATTCTATCAGAGTAGTTTCCTGGATGCTGGATATTCGTCGCTTGTGGAACTCATTTTGGTGAGTCAAGCTGGTGGCTTATTATCAGCACAACAATAATCCAGAGAACGGATTTAGTCTTGCTTCCTAAGAATGAGTGCACAAATAAAGGCAGATTTTTTTCCTCTGTTCCAAGAAAATAAATTAACTTCCTGCTTTTGGCACAAGGGGTTGAGGAAATTAGTCACCATTTGGTCAGTTTGAATGTTTTCCTTAAGGCAAAGCCAATAGGCCTGAATTGCACATGCCAAAAGCAACATGGATACACCCCCATTCATGTAACCCCTCTTTGTTAGTATTGGGAACCAAATTGATACTGTTTGCCATTAATCTTACAATGCTTGTTCCAGTTTTCCAATGGCTTATAGATGTATTATTTTAGCAGTAAGATCTACTTATATTCTGTTTTCAAGGGTCTTTAAAGTACTTGAGTTTCTACCTGAAATAGGAAATGACAGAAATGCTCATTTCCAGAAGTGACTCCTGGAGAGTCCCTGGAAGGTTTGTGGAGGTAGATCAATATGATCCATGCATAAAATTCAGGAAATGTTTGTATCACAGGTGGCTCACAGAAGCTTTTAGGAGGCTCTAAGGGATAGCTAAGGGTCAAAAAGAAACAGTTGTGGGATTCTGAGTCTGGAAACTACAGACTAAAGTGGGAGCTAAGCAAAGCAGAACAATGAGTTCACCAAATTTTACTTACTATCAAGCCCATTTCATGTAATATATAATCTCACAGACACTTTAACAATTTTAAAATGTCATCATTTTGCATAATATTACCAATAAGAAATGATTAAAGTTGACAGTATTTACTCTGAACAAATATATTAATAAAGGTTCTACTACAAAGTTCATTTCTGAAACTCTAATATTCACAATATATAAAAATAAATTTAAAATTCTATTTAACAAATGGCTTTAATTCATTTTTATTTTTTAAAATTTGGATTTGTCCATAGACAAAATTTAAAACAACATGTACCATGTTTATTCTGATATATGCATATTGTAATATACATATATTTGCTTCAATATATGTACGTCAAAATATAGATTGAAACTTAGCTAGGTTTGTTACTTATAAAATAGACAAAAATCGTCATGTAAAATTTTTGCATTTTATACTTTAAAAAGCAGCTGGCATCCTTCTATATTTTCTAGATTCTATTTATTTTTTATAAACTCTTCTGCAAATAACATTTTGAAGGAGTGGATAGTTCTTTTTAACCACTAAATAATATGCATAATATATTTAATCAATGCAGTTTTTTTAATACAAGTTTTTCAATCCCTTTAAATAAAGCTTTATGAAGATTTGATTAAACACATGCAATTTATGGGTAAAATGATCAACCTAGATGGAAACTTGAATAACTGCTTTTTCATGGTAGCAGTGATTCCTCCTCTTAACCAGTTGTCCATTGAGTAAAAACAATGACAACAACAGCAGTCTATGCCTATGAAGAAAACACTTTTGAAACTCTTCAGTAATGAAAGCCACCCAAGTAGGCTCTGTGGAGTGATAAAGCACTGAGTCATAAGGACTCCTCTTCTGATCTCTAGGCATCATGTTTGCATATTTCATATGCACTCAGCAGCTCTCAGATGGTTTCATTTTGGAAAACGATGTATTTCAGTTACATTCATTTAGAATATACTAGTGGAAATTAAAGCAACATCCTCTGGAACTGAACTTTAGAGTTCTGAATTCGGGGGTGGGGGGGCGAACAGAAGTGGGCCAGGGGATAGAAAAATACTCTTAGGTAGATGGAGTAAGTTTTAGTATTCGATAGTATGGCAGGGAAATAATAGTTAACAATAATTGTATATTTCAAAATAGCTAGAAAAGAATTGTAATGTTCCCAACACAAAAGATAAATGTTTGAAGTGTTGGATATCCCAATTACACATTGTATAGAGGTATGAAAAATCACACAAATCCCCAAAATAGGTACAACTATTATCTACCAATTAAAAAAATCTCAGTTCTGCTGATTAGAATGACCTAAAGAAGTTATTAACTTTTTTGACCTTTAGCTTCCTCTCTTTAGATTGTAAATAATTATAAATGTTATAAGAATCAAACGAGATGGTACATATGAAATTCTTAGAATATTGCCTGGCATGTGATAAGCACCATTAAATGTTGGCTATTATTATCTTTATTGCTGTTGTTGTAATTAAATATCAAGCACAGAACCTGGCATATAGTAAACCCTCAAGAAATGATGAATACTTATAATTAATCCAGATTCCTCAGCCTCAGGGCCTAAGGACCAGTACTAGTTCTTCCAGGAGATGCACGGCAATTTTGCTATGGATGTGGGAACAATGAAAGGAGCCAATAGTTAGGTCTCTAGAGTTCTTTATGCCTCTGTCATGGTGGGGAAAAAGACAGAGAAGGTGCCATGTATTGGCTGTACATGACATGTCTCCTTGGTAGATCAAAAAAAAGAACGAGAAATTGAGAGACTGAGCTCCGCAGCACATACAGCCCTATGCTATGTAAGCACCATGACTTTTTTCTCAATTAAGGGATTTTCAGAGTGGATGCAGGAAATTTGGAGAGCCTCCTCTGAACTCCCTGGGAATGTCTTTTGCAATTGAAGGAAACCATTGGTGTCAGTTAAAGGCCAAAGCTGAGAGGGAGATACTGGGCAGTGTGTCCCAGTGCTGGTGCAAACTTTTGCCTGCAGTTGTGGCAGCTTTGAAGACAACCTGGACCCATGGACCAGGGCTTCTCAGACCCATACCTGTATCTTTAGACCATTGCCTAGAAAGGCATCGTTTTGGGTGATAATAAGTTATATGAAGCCAAAAGGAAGTATCTTTTTATGTTATATAACATTGGACTGCATTCAGAGAATCATGTTGAATAAAAGGGAGTTCAGATTGTAAAAATATAGGCCGGGCATGGTGGCTTATGCCTGTAATCCCAGCACTTTGGGAGGCCAAGGCAGGTGGGTCACCTGAAGTCAGGAGTTTGAGACCAGCCTGGCCAACATGGTGAAACCCCGTCTCTACTAAAAATACCAAATTAGCCGGGAATGGTGGTGTGCACCTGTAGTCCCAGCTACTCGGGAGGCTGAGGCAGGAGAATTGCTTGAACCCAGGAGGCAGAGGTTGCAGTGAGCTGAGATCGCACCATTGCACTCCAGCCTGGATGACAGAGCAAGACTCCATCTCAAAAAAAAAAAAAAAAAGATTTTACAAAATAAATCAATGCCCTCACATCTGCACCTGTCCAAAAGATCAGTTAAGATGTGTACATATAATTATTTCCATTAATAGTTCTCCATTAAGCATAGAGTTGATCTCAGAAGTCTTTTAATAATAAGCTTATTTTTGGACATATAAAATGTGATTTTCCATAGAAAAATACCAGTGAGTATATTAACTCTTAGAAGGAAGATACAGTACTTCAAACAAATATGACTCATTCTGGAGTTATCTGATGTGAGATACACATGTGAAATATTTCAGAAGCAAATCATCTACGAATGGCTGTTTTTCAAAAATTTCACATGTGTATGTTTTTGTTTTGTTCTGTTTTTATTATAGATACACAAAAGCAAGAATCCACTGTGGGTGGAGGGACAACCAGGCATTGCTTCTATGGACTTCAGCCTGATTCTGAATATAAAATCAGTGTTTATACAAAGCTCCAGGAGATTGAAGGACCTAGTGTGAGCATAATGGAAAAAACACGTAAGTCATGTGTGTTCTCTCCTGATCCCTCTTCCCATCAACACAGAATTTTAGGCATCCTATTTTGAAAAAACCTTATCCCATTTAGAAAAATATTAGCTATTGCTGTCTAGGAATATACGTAATATAAGTTTTGATTCTCTTATTCAACCCCAGAATTCATTGCATATGGACCACTGATGTCATCAGCACGGGTTTTTAATTTCCATTCTCCATATGTGTTTCACAAGGGACTAGAAGACCACGTGATAGCAAAGCAATTGAGACAATGACTTATATTGTGATCCAGATCTGTAAGGAACATTTGTGGTATGTGGAGTGTGAGATGCAGTTTGAGGACTGGGCTCTGACATTAAAACAATGGCATATTACCACAGCCATGAGGATGGGAATGGAGCCAAGATGTTCCAACTGGCTGACCCTAGAGTTACTGCTTGCCTAAAATGCTCTTGTACTTTTTCCAAGCTGGCTGCAGATGTGATGCTCTGAAGGGAAAGGCAAAGTATAAAATTAAAACAAAGCTCTTTTTACATGTTCCAAAGAGCAAGGAGAGTGTCAGCTTCTTGAAATGGCTTCTAGTCAAAGATTCTTGACCCTGGGTCCACAAACATTGAAATGGTTTGAAATGTAGTAAATTCTGGAGGACATCTGTGTGCTTAACTCCGTATCTTGAATTTAAACTTGAAATTCCGGGAGGATTAGGTGTTGGACAATGGGCTTTCTTGGTGACCCATCTATCACGTACATGGCAGTTAGAAGGGACTACTGCCTATGTATAGCTCTTCCAGCCTCTCTGGCACTTGCAGAGGGCAATCATGCATGTGTGACCTTCAAAAAGAGAGAACAAAATATAATGAATTAAATCATCTTCTTTTTTGTAATACAGACATTTTATTTCACCACACTTAAATATGCAGTATTTTATATTCCACATATATTTTTAAGGTATAATTTACATACCATAAAATTTAAGCACACAGTTCAATGATTTTATACGTGTACTGTAATGAGTTTTACAACTATTCCTACAATTCAATTTTAGGACATTTGCATCAACCCAAATAACCTTTCCTGCTGTTTGCAGTCGATCTCCTTTCCCACACTGAGCCTCAGGCAATCTACTTTCCTTTATTATGCATTTGCCTTTTTTGGACATTTCACATAAGTGAAAATATACCATATGCAGTCTTTTGGATCTGACATCTTTCACTTGGCAGATGTTTTTGAGGTTTATCCATGTTGTAAATTGTGTCAGTAGTTTGTTTCTTTTTATTGCTGATTAGTATTCCATCTTATGGATTACAGATCATATGATTTTGAAGTTAATAGGAACCTAGTAATCCACCAGACTTAGAGTCAAATGGTTTGGTTGAGGATCTTGTTCTGCACCTTTCTAGCATTGTGACTTTGGGCAATTCAGCATCTCAAGAAAATTAAATACCTACTCTCTTGCCTCACGTGGTGGCGGTAAACATCCAATAAAAAAAATACTTATTGAAGAGCTTTTCAATGTGTATCTCATTAAGCAAGTACTTTTTGTCATCACCATTATTCTTAAAAGTCATAAACTTAAGGCTAGATCTCACTATCAGGCATGTTTTCTCTGGGCCCTACTTTTTTAAGTTTTAAAGTAGTTTTTGAAAAGTCAGAATATTGGGCAATACAAAGTATCTTCATGGTGCCAATCTGCTGGAGCCAGCTAAAAGCTGTGTGTTTAGACAGTGCATGTGCTCTTAAGTTTGCTACTGCACCTTCATGTTCACGCTAAGTTCTTTGCACATATTCATTGCTCACCTGACCGCTAGTAACATTTGTGTTTAGGACCCCTGATCTACTTCAGCTTCTCCTATCCTTGGCCCCACACTGGTTAGCTAACTAACCTAGGGTTAAATCCAATTTGGATAGCTCTGTTTGATGTAAATATTTTCTTCATGTTGGAGGCATCTGTCTCCTTGTAGCTTCTACTCATTGGCCCTGGTTCAATCTTCCGAAGCAATGCAGGTAAAGACTATTCCCTCTTTATGTGACAGAACCTCAGATCCTTGAAGACAGAGACAATCTGTATGCCACATACAGAATATAAACATGTGTCCCCAGTTCACTGTGGTTCTTCTGAACCAAGAGATTCTTTGGCCAGATGTTCTGCCCAATCATATTAATCTGGCTGCCGTAGCCTCTTACTGATTTCATTCTTGATTTATTGACCCAACTTATGAGATGCCTCTATTTTTCATATTAAATAAGATGCACAATCATTAAGATGACTACTTCCAAAAATTTTAAAATTAAAAAACATGACTTTAGAAACAGGTGGGGCTTTTAAGAAAGTTTTGCAATTCTAGTTACAAAAAAAGTCTCTTTTTTAATTTTGAGAGTTTTTAGCTTCAAAAAATTGTCTTTAAAAATAACAGTGATATATATTCATTATAGCAAAACAGAAATGTGTAATGTGCATTGTCAACCTCCTTATTTCCTTGTTTTTCCTTTTCAGAAATATTTCCTTTTCACACACACACACACACACACACACACACACACATTTGTGAAGAATAAAAAGTAGATAATATGAAATATAAAAGGTATATATATATATATGTGTGTGTGTGTGTTTATGTATGTGTACTTTTTATTTTTCACAAATGAGATTATGCCATAGTATTCTGTGACTTGTTTCACAAAACAATTCATCTTGAATATTCTTTCTTTTAGTAAAACATAGTTACCTCATTCTTTTAATGTTGAATCATTTTATTTATTTTATTTTATTGGATCTTAAAGTTGGAAGAGACCTTAAAACTCACCTCTTAGCCTTCCTTACAATGCAGAAATTCCCTTTATAAAATTCTTGGCAAATGGTCAGTCTGTCTGAGCTCAAATCTTTCTAGCTATTTGGTGCTTAGTATTGCCTGAGGCTAGATATCCCCTCTATGAATCACTATGATTTGTGGAGGGTTTTCCTGAGTATTAAACTGGGATAACCAGAAGCATTTTCTTGGTTTTTCTTAAATCTTTAGTGTCAAATAGGAACTAGAAATGAATACATATAACAGCATATTTTATGTTTACCTAATGACAGCACACCTTCCTGGTGCTTTGCTGCATGAGCTGGAATGAGAATTGAGAATCAGTACTCTGATCTAACTGTCTCCAGGTCCTTTAACCAAGCCACACCTCTGCAGAGTACATGGACTTCTCATCCTGCATGATCCAGGTTGAAAAGATCCAAACACACTTCAGCCTGCCAATGTTTACATTTGGTCCTCAAACCCAAAAGACATTTCCAAATGCAGTCTGAGCAGAGCAGAGTGCATCAGAGTCCACCAGTGACCAACATCCTGGGAGATGCAGGATGGAAAGGGAAAAGTGCTACTGAGCAAGGATTGATGGTTCATCCTTAGGCAGAATGGAAATGAAGTTAATTGTGTGTGTGAAAGCAGTTGGAGACAAACTTGCAAATGGGTTGGCGGGATTCCTGCCTTAAATCAATGTTAGAACCACTTTGTAGCTGACAGTTTGATTTCATTGACTCCTGCTGGGTAAACTGAATGGTGGCAAAATGGCATTTCAACCCTTCAGTCTGAGGATGAGATGATGGATGGAGTCAGTTTTCACAGGCTGTGGCTGATTTATAGTAGCCATTCAATTCTCAGAGAAGACAGTTGCCAAAATCATTGACTCCCTGAATATTTATTACTCCATGACCTTCGTTTCTTCCCCACAGATGAGATAGCTAACTGATGTCCTTTCTCTCCTTTACAGAATCTCTTCCTACACAACCACCAACTTTTCCTCCAACCATTCCACCAGCAAAAGAAGGTAAAAGAATAATACAATAATGATCTGTTTCTAGGTTAAGGATTTGTGTTGGCTTTGTTTGCCTGTTCATTTAAAACCAGGGTATTAATAAAGTATATTTATTGTGCTACCTAATTTTCTCTTTAATACAAATGTTTATCAACCATAATCAGCTTGAATGATATTGTTTAATAATCAGTTCTGCACACCAAGAGTGGATTTACTAACAGAATTGCTTAATATTGATTTTTTTGAGGAAATAGCAGTAACATTTATTAAGAAACAATAGTTACGTAATTTGTAAGTGAAAATCCAGTTTGTAATTCCTCAGATACAGTGATAGTTTCCCAGCCTACCTCTGACGTGTCTCAGTTGTTTTTTTTTCTTCATCACCACAGTTCCTCATCACCTTTTACCTAAGCTACTAGGGTAATTTTTAAAAAGACCTCCAACAAAGTAGTGATCATTCTTTTCTTTATTTCAGTAATGAACTTCTATTAATCCTGCTATTTATTCTCAAAGCTCTTATGGTAGGCATGGGAAATACAATAATAATACATGACTGCTGCTCTCTGCTTATTTTTAGTATTAAAGAGAAATAGGTACTTCCATAGATAAGTACCAATCAAGTTTATGAGTTATAAAAGAACAATTGTATTATGGTAGCCCAGAAGTGGGAATGGTTAATGCTGCTACAGATTAATGATGCTCTTCTTAAGGAAGAGGAATTCGATCTACATTTTGAAGAATGAGAGATAAGTAATGGTATGAATAGCTTTCGGTGTTAAGAGTGATCTAAGCACTTAATGGATTTAGGAAACCATAAATGCTTTAGTGTGGCATTAAAGAGAAAAGAATGAGAATAGAGTTATAGAGTGGTTGATGTGACAAAATTAGGAATATGCGCTTTATCCTGTGGGAAATGGCATACCATGAGAATTTGTAGGAAGGAAGGGTGATCTGATGAAATCTGTTTAAGAACAATAACATTGGCAAAATAGGGGGGAGGGACTGGAAGAATGAGAGGAGAAAGTAGAACATGTTAGAAGGTTGTATTGCAAGGGTTCTTCCATTTATAATGCCTTTTAAAGTGTCTGTTACATACCAGGGAAACAATAAAAAATAAATTGTTCTGAGCTTAAAGCCAGTGGATTCAAATGCTGCAGAGAGTGGAAGGCACAAAGAAACAGAGGCAATTAAATATTCTAATAAAACAACATTCATCCTAGGATGGCATGCAAAGTCTTCATGAATCAATCTACTTTGCAGAATTATTTCCTAGAATACATTATATAATAGCAATATTGTACAACTCAGGGTTTCCCATACATGTCTTAAGCTGTCCTGCATCTTTGAATGCTGTTCACCTTACCTGGAATGCCACACTCTTCTGACAGCTTCATATCTAGCCTTCTTTAGTCTCAATTATCTATGGTTATTCTCGTGATTAGAACTGAAAACAGAATCCTAATTGATAAATTTACTAATTAGGCACTTCTGATGCAGATATTACAGAATGCTCTGAGGTCAGAATATTTTTATTTATAGCTGAGTATGGATATTATTCAGTAAACATCCATGACTGCTTATAGAAGACTTAATGTGATCTGGAAAAGTCTGTGTGATTAAAGATTGACAAAGTAGAAACATTGGTTCTGAGGTTTTCATCATGATTGTTTTAGATGGTGCTTTTGCAACTTGAATGCACTGTGTATTTTAGGCTTTATTTGTTCTGGGTATATTTAATTTAAAAGCCAATAAATCTTTATTATTAAGGTAATACTAAATATTTATTAAACAAACATTAAAAAGCAGAAAAAACTTAAAAGAAGAAAATTAAAAACACAGCTTTCTATCCCAGAGGTAATTCCTTCATGCATGTTGATATATTTTCTTTCTTTGATTTGCTAACTAAATTTTTCATTTTAATACATTTTTAATAGAATTTGTTTTTATTTTGAAAGTGAAACCTGATTTTCATTTTTTTCTTTCCATGGAAACAGAGGACCTGTTTATAAAATGCATAATTAGCAGATCTTCTGATTCCTTTCAACTTTAAGTTCAAACCACAAATTTGTAAAATTTTATAAATTGCAGAATTCATGAGAACAACCTCACCAGATCAGTACTGCCCCTAGCGTATTAGCTTACTTGGAGATGGTTTATTTTATATTATAAATAGCTTTCAGGGAATGAAATTGTACTTAATAAAAACCAAGTGAGGTTTTTCTTAGAGGAAAGAGAAAGGCATATTATCTCATAGAATATTTGTGTGCAATTGGCCTAAGATTAAAAGATTCAGATTATTGAAGAGCAAATTGTTTGCTTTATCATAAAACTGAGTTAACTGCAATGATCTACCCTAATGAAGAGGAGGAAAGGCATAGATAATCTGAAACGGCACATGATACCAAAAAAGAACTTGTAAAAATGTTCTCAGTAGAGTAGGTTTTTATTGCTGTAGTTTGCGTTAATTCTTTTTACTTGTTTGAGTGCTTTGTAGATATCTGTAATACCTACTGACAGTACTTTCCCTTGGCTAGCATTCATGTACCTTTCTTGACATATATCAGTGGGCTATAGAAGGACAGAGACAGAACCTTTTTTTTAACCAAGATTAGAGTTTGTTTACTTATGGCCTCAGCCCAAATGAATATCAAATTATAATTAGATTAATCTGGTTCCATTTTATCACATACTTTTCTGCTGAGATTGAATCACTCTGAAATTAACTTACTAATTCAATAAGGAGAGGGCAGGATGCACAGAGTGATAGCATGTCCTTTTCTGCAATCAGTTGGTACTAGACGGTGTTTAGTGATACTTCTGTCTCTAAATCCCCTTAATCCCATCTTTTCCTAGTCCTTCATTTTCATTCTTTTGGGCTGAGAACTTTTTCTTTCTCTATTTCCACATGCATAATAGAAGCTTCTTAGTCAGGAATAAGAACCTTGGGTATAAAAGAGTAATTACAGCAAAGAAGCATAGTGAGCAGGAGTTTGGAATATGAACATTAAGAAGTTGATATATTTCCTTTGAAAAAGAGCTTCACTTATCAGAGGACAACCATTATTTGCCTTATTGGTTTAATAATTACTAAATTGTTCCCTTCTCTCTGACTCAAAATTCACTGTTGGTCTTCAGTATGTAAGGCGGCCAAGGCTGACCTGGTATTTATGGTGGATGGATCCTGGAGCATTGGAGATGACAATTTCAATAAGATCATCAACTTTCTGTATAGCACTGTTGGAGCCCTGAACAAGATTGGCACAGATGGAACCCAAGTAAGGCTAATACATAAATAATTTATTTATTCTATGTATTTAGAAGTTGTTTCTCCAGCTCTTATTACAGCTGCTTGTCAGGAACTGTAGGTCAAGAACTGTAATGATTGGACTCAACCTTAAATGAAAGGATAGACAGGTCTGTGTTTGGAAGCAGCTTATTAATGCCTGATGAACCTCCAGAGGATGCCTATCCTTAAAAGGTGTTGAGTTCAGCAAACTAAAACAAGGTAGAAAGTCCATGTCAGGGCATTTAAAAAATATATACTAAGGTAGAATGTCTCCTTTAATGATACACATGATATTTTCCCTGCCCTTAAGGACTTTAAAATCTTGAAAGGAAAAGGTTAAGGTCACACATTACTATATATAATGTGGAACATGAAACAGAATTATTCATTTAACAAATATGTATCAAGGATTTATTATAGCCATGTCCTATACTGTCATAATGAATGCCAATCAATGTCTCTAATTTCGTGGAGCTCATATTCTTAAAAGTAAGGACAGAAGACATATCAGTCAGAATGGCTATTATTAAAGAGGCAAAAAACAACAGATGCTGGCAAGATTGTGGAGAAAAGGGAACACTTACACATCGCTGGTGGAAATGTAACTTAATTCAGCCATTGTGGAAAGCACTTTGACAGTTCCTCAAAGAACTTAAAACAGAATTACCAAACCCAGAAATCCCACTACTGGATATATACCCAAAGGAATATAAATCATTCTACTATAAAGACACATGTATGCACATGTATGTTCATTCCAGCACTATTCACAATAGCAGACATGAGATCAACCTAAATGCCCATCAATTGTAGACTGGATGAAGAAAATGTGGTACGTATACATTGCAGAATATAATGTAACAATAAAAAAGAATGAGATCATGTTCTTTGCAGCAACATGGATGAAGCTAGAGGCCATTATCCTAAGCAAACTAATACATAAACAGAAAACCAAATACTATATGTTCCCACTTATAAGTTGAGGTAAACATCAAGCACATATGGACACAAAGAAGGGAAAAACAAATACCAGGGCCTACTTGAGAGTGGAGGGTAGGAGGAGAGTGAGGGTCGAATAACTACCTATAGGGTAATGTGCTGAATCTCTGGATGATGAAATAATCTGTGCATCAAATCCCATGACATCCAATTTATCTCTATAACAAACATGCACATGTACCCCTAAAACTAAAATAAAAGTTAAAAAACAAGTAAAGAGAAAAGAGATAGAGACAGATATAAACAGGCAAGCAAATAGATTCCCAAGGTAGGCATGTAAGCTACGAAGACAGAGTGATGAGATTTAAAGATGTCAGAGGATTACTCTAAATTGTATGTGACAGTTGTTTTTAATTGGTCAGTGAAGACTTCTTTGAGGACGTGCCTTTTGAACTGAGATGTGAATGATGCAGACTTGAAGATCCGAGAATGGCATTTCCAGACAGAGAAAGTGATAAGTACAGAGGACCCAAGATGAGAATGAGTTTTGAAACTTCACACCCCAAAACTTGTGGATAGAATATGGTGGGTGAGAGTGTGAGGATAGAACAGATGGAAGAAAGTAGGCAAAAGCCAGATCATCTTGAGTCTTGTGGACCATCAAAGGAGTTGAATATCATCATAAATGCAACTGGAAATCACTAGCAGATTTTAAAGAGAGACAAGATCTGTTTCAGAAAAAAGATTACCCCAACTTCTTTGTGGCATGTGAGTACTAATAAGGATAAGAGTGGAAGCAGATAGACCAGTCAGGAAGATGCGCTCATGGTCCAGCAGAATGGCCTGGACTAGGGTGGTAGCAATGAGGTACACTGAAACAAACAGATTTGGAATATATTGTGAAAGAATGGCTAAGAAGATCTGGACACAAGAAGTACCATAAGAGAATAGATACTTTGCAGAAACCTTACAAGACAAAAGAGATTATGGTTCTATTTTTAGCCTCTCTAAACAAAATTACTGTCAGGAAAGAATTCTGAATCCAGCAAAAGTCAGTTTCATAACTAGAGGAGAATTAATGTCATTTTCAGGCAAACAAATGTCACTACCAGACCAGCCCTACAAGAAATACTAAAAGAAGTTCTAAATTTGGAAGCAAAAGTTTGATATACACTGGAATATAACCTTTCAAAAGTATAAAACTCATAGGACCTATACAACAATAACACAGTGAAGAAAACAAAGTACTTAGGTAAAAACATGGTGAGTGGAACTGTACCTCACATCTCAGTATTAATGTTGAATGTACATAGCCTAAGCCCTCCACTTAAAAGATACAGATTAGAAGAATGGATACAGAATCACAAACCTAATATCTGCTCTCTTCCAGAGACTTACCTAACATGTAAGGATTTGTATAAACTCAAGGTAAAGGGGTGAAAGAAGATATTCCATGCAAATGGAAACCCAAAGCAACCAGGAGTAGCAATTCTTATGTCAGATAAAACAGACTTTAAAGCAATAATAGTAAGAAAAGACAAAGAAAGTCATTTTATAATAATAAAAGGATTAACCCAACAAGAAGATATTATAATCCTGTTTATAAGCACTTAACTCTGGAGCTCCCCAATTCAGAAAACAATTACTACTAGACCTAAGAAGTGAGACAGCAACACAATAATAGTGGGGGACTTTAACATTCCACCTGCAGCACTAGAGAGATAATCAAGACAGAGAGTCAACAAAGAAACAAGGGACTCAAACTACACCCTAGAACAAATGGACCTAGGATGTATTTACAGAACATTCTGTGTAAAAATTGTAGGAGATACATTCTTCAAATCAGCATATGAAACATTTTCAAGATAGACCATGACAGGCCACAAAACAAGTCTCAATAATTAATTTTTAAAAATCAAAGTCATATCAGGCATCTTCTCAGACCACAGTGTAATAAAACTAGAAATCAACTCCAAAAGGAATCCTCAAAAGTATACCAAATACATGGAAATTAAACAGTTTGCTCCTGAACGATTTTTGGGTTAATAATAAAATCAAGAAGGAAATTTAAAAATTATTTGGAATGAATGGTATACTTACCTAAGTTGCCAAAACCTCTGACATACAGTAAAAACAATTCTAAGAGGAAAGTTTATAGCACCAAACGCCTACATCAAAAAGTCTGAAAGAGCACAAATTGACAATCTAATGTTACACCTCAAGAAACTAGTGAAACAAGAACAAATTAAACCCAAAGCTAGTAAAAGAAAAGAAATAACAAAGATCAGAGCAGCACTAAGTGAAATTGAAACAAAAAACAATAAAAAAGATCAACTAAACAAAAAATTCGTTTTTTGAAAAAACAGAATTGATAGACCATTAGCTGTATTAACTAAGAAAAAGGAGAGAAGATTCAAATAATCTCAATTAGAAATGAAAATAGAGACATTACAACCAATACCACAGAAATACAAAAGATCATTCAGTACTATTATGAGCACCTCTATGAACAGAAACTAGAAAATCTGAAGGAAATAGATAAATTCCTGGAAACAACAACCCTCCTAGATTAAATAAAAAATAAGCCCTGAGCAGACCAATAATGAACAGTGAGATTGCATCAGTAATTTAAAAAAATTTCCAAAAAAATGCCAGTTGGATTCACAGATGAATGCCACCAGACATTCAAAGAAGAATTAGCACCAATTCTATGGAAACTATTAGGTTGGTGCAAACCACAATTACTTTTGCACCAACCTGATATTCTAAAAGGTTAGAAAGGGAATTCTCCCTAAATTATTCTATGAAGCCAGTATTACCCTGATACAAAAACCACTAGAGTACATAATGAAAAAGAAAATTACATACCAATATCCCTGATGAACATAGATGCAAAAATACTCAAGAAAATATTAGCTAACCAAATGCAATGACACATCAAAAACGTAATACACTTTGATCAGGTGGATGTCATCTCAGCAACACAAGGAGAATTTAATGTACACAAGTCAATAAAAGTGATACATCACATAAACAGAATTAATAACAAAAACCATATGTTAATCTCACAGTTGCAGAGAAAGCATTCAATAAAATCCAGCATCCCTTTATAATAAATACTTTTAACAAACTAGGAATAGAAGGGACATACCTCAAAATAATAAAAGCTATATGTAACAGTCCAACAGCCCAAATCATACTGAATGGAAAAAAGTTGATAGCATTCCTTCTGAGAACTGGAATAAGTCAAAGATACTCATTTTCACCACTTCTATTCAACATAGCTGGAAGTCCTAGCCAGCGAAATCAGGCAAGAGAAAATAATAAAGGGCATCCAAACTGGAAAAGAGGAAGTTAAACTATTGCTATTTGCTAATGATATGATCATATACCTAGAGAACTTAAAGACTTCTCCAAAAGACTCCTAGATTTGATAAATAAATTCAGTAAACTCCCAGGTTACAAATCAATGTATATGAATCAGTGGCACTGCTATACACCAATGGCCAATTCTCAGGTAAGAGATAAGTCCTGAGGATCAAATCAAGAACACAATCCCTTTTATAACAGCTGCAAAAAAAAAAAAAATAGACATACCTAGGAATATACTATACTTAATGAAAGAGGTGGAAGTTCTCTTCAACAACAATCACAAAACACTGCTAAGAGAAATCAGAGATGACAAACAAATAGAAGTATCCCATGCTCATGGATTATAAGAATTCTTAGGAAAATGACCATACTTCCCAAAGCAATGTACAGAACCAATGCAATTCCTATAAAAATATCAACATCATTTTTCACAGAACTAGAAAAAACAATGCTGAAATTAATATAGAACCCAAAAAGAGCCCAAATAGCCAAAGCACTCCTAAGTAAAGAAAAAATCTGGAGGCATCACATTACCTGACTTCAAAGTATACTACAAGATCATAGTTACCAAAACAGCATGGTACTGATATAAAAGTAAACACATAAACTAATGGAACAGACAGAGAACCCAGAAATAAAGTCAAATATATGCAACCAACTGATCTTGGACAAAACATTCAAGAACGTAAACTAGGGAAGGGACACCTTATTTAATAAATGGCTCTTGGAAAACTGGATAGCCACATGTAGAATGGAAACTGGATCCCTACCTCTCACCTTATACAAAAATTATCTCAAGGTGGATCAAAGCCTTAAATCTAAGACCTGAAATGATAAAAATTCTAGGAGATAATTTGGGAAAAACTCTTCAGGACATTGGTCTAAGCAAGGAATTTATGATTAAGACTCCAAAAGCAAATTCAACAAAAACAAAAATAAACAAATGGTACCAATTAAACTAAAAACCACCTTCTGAGCAGCTAAAGAAATAATTAACAGAGTAAACAGACAACCCAAGAATGGGAGAAAATATTTGCAAACTATGCATCTGACAAAGAACTAATATCCAACGTCTACAAGGAACTCACCCAAATCAACAAGAATAAAACAAATATCTCATCAAAAGTGGGAAAATGGCATAAATAAACATTTCTAGAAACAAGATATACAAATGCCCACAAGCATATGAAAAAATGCTCAACATCATTAATCATCATGGAAATATAGATTAAAACACAATGAGATACCACCTTGTCCCTGCAAGAATGGCCATTATTAAAAGTCAAAAAACAATAGATGTTGGTGTAGGTGTGGTGAAAAGGAAATACTTATACACTGCTGGTGGGAAGGTAATTTAGTGCAACCTCTATGGAAACAGTATGGAGATTTTTTGAAGAACTAAAAGAAGATTTACCTTTGGTTCCAGGAATCCCAGTACTGGCTGTCTACCCAAAGGAAAAGAAGTCTTTATGTCAAAAGACACCAGTAAACATACGTTTATTTTAGCACAATACACAAATGCAAAGATATAGGACTAACCTCAGTGCCCATTTTCCAATGAGTAGATAAAGAAAATGTGGTATATATACACCCCAGAATACTACTCAGCCATAAAAAAGAACAAAATAATGTGCTTTGCAGCAGCTTGAAAATAGGCCACTATTTTAAGCGAAGTAACTCATGAATAGAAAACCAAATAGCATATGTTCTCACTTTTAAGTGAGGGCTACACAAAGGAACCAGGGTAGCTATACAAAGGAACCACAGGGTGGTATAATGGACTTGGAGACTCAGAGTGGGGAAGGTGGAAGGTGGGTAAAGGATAAAAAAAAAAAACTACATATTGGGAAGAATGTACACTACTTGGGTGATGGGTGCACTAAAATCTCAAGCCTCACTACTGTACAATTCAACCATGTAACCAAATACTCTTGTACCCCAAAAGTATTGAAAATAAAAGTATGTTATTAAAAAAGAGGAGAATAGATAACATGCTGAGGCATGTCAGAGAGAAAGAAATTTCCTTTGAGTGAAGAAATTAGAGGAGGCTTTCTAAAGATGGTGACATGTCTAGTAGACCGATAAACTGGTAGCAGCTTAAAGCTCACTTAAAGAAAGCACTCTAAAGATGCTGTCTTTACTTCTTACATCATAATTCTGAAAAACAAAAAAACAATCAATTAAAAATGGTCCAAAAGCTCAACAGGAATAAATACAAGTTGTAAGAACTGAAACCAGAAAGTTTCATAGTAGTGGCTGAGAAACAGATTTTGGCATAGAATAGATCTATCTTCAACTGTTAACTCTGCCAGTGACCACTCTTGTGGGGATGTTGTGCAAGCAACTTGTCTTTTGCGGCTCAGTTTCCTCAAGTGTACAGTGAGTAGAATAGTAGTAATTACCTTATAGGTTTACTTCATAAGGAAATCTTTGTAAAGAGTCCAACTCTGATTGTCGGACATTTGTCAAGTTACCAAACTTAGGCTGCCATATTTAAACTGTCAAATGAGGTGGTGAAAATCCTACATGCTTGAAAGATTTTTTAAAAACTGCTTCCTGACAGTACTTAAAGACACATGTGCTCCTATGTTCCTTGCAGCACTATTCACAATAACAAACATGGAATGCCCATCAATGGTGGACTGGATAAAAAATATATAGTACACATACAGCAAGAAATAATATGCAGCCATTAAAAAAAAAACGAATAATATCATTTTCTTTGCAGCAGTACAAGTGCTGCTGGTAGCCATTATTCTATGCAGATTAACACAGAAACAGAAAACCAAATATTGCGTGCTCTCACTTATAAGTGGGAGCTAAACATTGACTAGACAGGGCCATAAAGATGGGAACAATAGACACTAGGGACTACTAGTAGCGGGAGAATAGAAGGAGGGTGAAGCTTGAAAAACTACCTATTGGGTATTATGCTTACTACCTGGGTGACAGAATCATTTGTACACATCTCAGTGACATACAATTTACCCAGGTTACAAACCTGCACAGTGTACCCTCTGAATATAAAATGAAAGTTTTAGAAAAGATGTATTTAATTTGTCTTCAAATTTGGTATGTAACTTGTACGGAAGAAATTTTAATCCAAGGAGATTTTGTAATGAGTTAATGAAGAAATTAAAACTGCAGGTGATATTGTGCTATTGCTGTCTGACCCAGTGGACGTCTACATGTGCATAAAAATGAATACAGCTTCTCTCTCCAGGTTGCAATGGTTCAGTTCACTGATGACCCCAGAACAGAATTTAAACTAAATGCTTACAAAACCAAAGAGACTCTTCTTGATGCAATTAAACGCATTTCATACAAAGGAGGAAATACAAAAACAGGTATGACAAAACAAACACCACCACCACCACCAACAAAAAAAAAAACCAGCTAAGCCTCAGAGTAATTAATTGTTAGTAACTACTGAAATGACCTTTTGTTTTAAGGCATAGTAATTTTTTAAAAGATTTTTTTTCCTTCATTTAAGAACTTTGTTCCCACCCTTTTCTCCCCAGAAAAACAAAAATGGGAGGGAGTGAAATCGAACTGTTGCCTTTCTTTGTTTCAGGAAAAGCAATTAAGTATGTTCGAGATACCTTGTTCACTGCAGAGTCAGGTACAAGAAGGGGCATCCCAAAGCTTATTGTGGTTATAACTGATGGAAGATCACAAGATGATGTGAACAAAATCTCCAAGGAGATGCAATCAGATGGTAAGATATATAAACAACAGTGGCTATTAAATGTAATGCTAGAATTGTTATTTTTCAAAAACAAAAACAAATTTATAGGCTATATTAGCATTACTTAAATGTTTTAAAATATTTCTTCATATTAACTAGACAGTGTAATTTTAAAAATACTTTCTGGTATACAAATCTGTAATTGTACTGTTTTGTTAGAAAAACGGGTTATTTTCTCTTAACACTTTTGTTACACACTGGATGCCCTTTATAAGGAAATCAAGCAATTAAGTATTGTAAGAAAAGGACCAGGGAAAGAACCTTATTACATAAACTCCTCAGCTTCTTAATCATACCTAAATGCCCATCAGTGATAGACTGGATAAAGAAAATGTGGCACATATACACCATGGAATACTATGCAGCCATGAAAAAGAATGAATTCATGTCCTTTGCAGGGATATGGATGAAGCTGGAAACCATCATCCTCAGCAAACTAACACAGGAACAGAAAACCAGACACCACATGTTCTCACTCATAAATGGGAGTTGAGCAATGAGTACACATGGAAACAGGAAGGGGAACATAACACAGCAGGGCTTGTTGGGAGATGAGGGGCAAGGGGAGGGAGAGTATTAGGACAAATAACTAATGCATGTGGGATTTAAAAACTAGATGGCAGGTTGATAGGTGCAGCAAACCACCATGGCACATGAATACCTATGTAACAAATCTGCACGTTCACCATATGTATCCCAGAACTTAAAGAAAGAGAGAGAGAGAGAGCGAGAAAGAGAGAGAGAGAGAGAAGGAAGGAAGGAAGGAAGGAAGGAAGGAAGGGAGGGAGGGAGGGAGGGAGGGAGGGAGGGAGGGAGGGAGGGAAGAAAGAAAAGGACCAGGAAAGAACTTTATTACAGAAACTCCTCAGCCTCTTAATCTGTAAAATGGAGATTCTCACAAGACTGCTGTGAAGATTAAATTACATAAGCTATCATGGCAAATAGTCATTCTATTTACTTGCCAAGCATCACATGGTGACCCAACTTAGGTTGCTAGGCCTATTAAGATCTCAGTTTCTACTTCTAAAAAAAAAAAAAAAAAAAAACTGAGATAAGCTCAGTGTCTCTGTTTCAAGTATATTTCATACCACAAATGTTAAAGTAACTTTTAAAAATATGCAACCACAGAGATATTACTCAACTGCAAACTATTTCATTGCAAGCACAAATTGGGGCGTTGGTCTTCTTGGGTTTCTTTAAAATGGAAAATTTCTTTAGGGGATGATGGAATCATTATCACATACTGAAATATATACATGCAGAACTCTGATGAACTGTAAAGAATGAATTATCCACCCCCATGCGCCTTCCTAAATAAACATATTTTAAACATTTGGACGTGTCTTATATTGCATTATTTGTGTTTTGTACAATTTAAAGTAATCAGAAATCTGTTCTCTGTCTGCCACAGGCTATAGCATTTTTGCAATTGGTGTGGCAGATGCAGACTACTCAGAGTTGGTTAGCATTGGCAGTAAGCCCAGCGCACGCCATGTCTTCTTTGTGGATGACTTTGACGCCTTTAAGAAAATTGAAGATGAGTTAATTACTTTTGTCTGCGAAACTGCATCAGCAAGTTAGTTCTTTGGAATTTGTACTTACTCATGTTGTTTAATGGCTGAAATATTTGATACTGGTTAAATAATGAGTCTCATCTAGATCTGAGAAAAGAATATTGACTTCCAGAGCTGCTCGTTATATACACACTAAGTTCTGTGGCTTTGAGCATATGGAAGTAAACCTGCCCTTCTCCGTTTAAAGCTTAGATTGATAAAAACCTTCCCTAATCAGATGAGTCTATGTTTAAAAGCAACTGTAGCTAAACAGATGTAGTAAATAATTTTCAATGTATTAAGATGTCAACTGTATTACATCATCTGGGCTACACATTACAAGGAAGATGTGTTCCAATACATACTCTCAGATGATAACTATTGATTTTAATCAACCCAGGAGAGAAGGAAGCTACGGCCCTTTAGTTGTAATAAGGGTCCTTCGTGCATTTCAATCCTTAAGAAACCACAGAAAACCATAGTCACATTTGATTTGGATTCTCTCCACAATCCACTTCCGGAAAGATTATATTAGTTTTCTGTTCTCAGGACAGGGAAAGCGTATGTTTGTGAAATATCTGAATTAGAGTTTTATTTTGTTTGTTTGGTTTTCCAGCCTGTCCAATGGTACACAAGGATGGCGTTGATCTTGCAGGTATGCTTTATCACAATTTTTTCAAACACAAATATATTACATACCTCTCATTTGGGGATGGAGTTTCTGTTTTTATTTTTAAATCCTTAATAGAAAAATATTAAAATTCAAAATTCTAAAGTGCCATATTCTGTATGTTTATTCTTTTTCTACATTATTTTTTTTTTTTTAGGATTTAAAATGATGGAAATGTTTGGTTTGGTTGAAAAAGATTTTTCATCAGTGGAAGGGGTTTCTATGGAGCCTGGTACCTTCAATGTGTTTCCATGTTACCAACTCCATAAAGATGCCCTGGTTTCCCAGCCAACCAGGTATGTTTCCATTGCAAGATTTTAAAGTCAGTTATAAGTTTATTATATCTCACTGTGAAAATGATGTCAACTTGAAATATGGTGTAATAGTCCCTGGTAGGATTTTCCACAATGTTTACAGTAGATGATATTTACGTTTCTTTGTTTAAAAACATTGGACTCACACATACTGCGGATTGAACTTTAATATCTGCTGATCTGAGACAACGTATAAAAATGATTGCTGGGTGCTGTGGCTCATGCCTGTAATCCCAACACTTTGGGAGGCCAATATGGGAGGATCACTTGAGGCCAAAAGTTTGAGACCAGCTGGGCAACAAAATGAGACCCAGCCTCTACAAAAAAATAAAAATAAAAAAATTAGCTGGGCAATGTGGTGTGCACCTGTAGTCCCAGCTACTCTGGAAACTGAGATGGGAGGATCGCTTGAGCCCAGGAGGTTAAAGCTGCAGTATGCCATGATCACGCCACTGCACCTCAGCCTTAGTGAAAGAGCAAGAACCTGTCTTAAAAAAAAATGATATTTATATAGCACTACTACTAGGCATCGTTCTAAATGCTTTATGTACATTAACTCACTCAAACCTCCAAACACCTCTATGAAAGTAGATTCCAGTATTATCTAAATTTTACAGATAGTGAATCAGAAACACAAAGAAGCTAAATTACTTGAGTGAGCTCACATAGTTAAATGGCAATCTTGGAATTTGTATCCAGCAATCAGGCTCCAGTGCCCAGACCTGGAACCATTTCACAGTAGTGCCATAGTTCAAATGGTTTCGATTTTTATGATAATCACAAAGCAACTCTAGAAAGTTGAAGAGTAGTAATCAGGTTTATATAAAATCACATTATGTGGCTGCTTTATAGATACATTTGCCTTATTCTTGTTTTTATCTCTGAATCCCCAGAAAATTAGATGGTGTCTGTCCACATTGAGGGCGGATCTTCCCCACCTGGTTCACTCAGACTCACATGCTAATCTCCTGTGGAAATGCCCTCACAGATATACTCCAAAATAGTGCCTTACCAGGTTTCTAGATATTCTTTAATCCAGTCAAGTTGACACCTAACATTTACAATCACAAGACCTTTGTTAGTTTATTTGCTGATGTATCTTAACTGTATGTTACAATGTCTGGCATATAGGTGACACTCAAAAAATACTTGTTGAATGGACAAATGAATTAACGAATACATAAATAAATGAATATTTTTATCTAAGCAAACTAAACTTTCATTTTCAAACATATGCAAAATTTTCACGTTTATTTGTTCAATTAATAACTATTAGAGAGTTTCTACTATATGTAAAGGGCTGTATTTTTTTTGCTTGGAGGAAGATTTAAAAAGTAAATGAGTGATCACCTTAGTTCTTAGAGAGACAAGACTATATTGTAGGTTGGGCTCTTCAGGAAGCAGATTTTCTAGCAGATATTAGTATGTGGGAAGTCGATAAGGGTATTCCCTAGTGGAAAGGAACAGCAAGAAGCAGGATGGGGCAGAGGGAGAAGTCAAGCTGTGAAGAATCTCAATAAAAGCCTCCACTCACCCAGAGGAGTTCTGTAAATGGTATGGCCCTTCAGAGCTGTCTCCCATTGGGTTCAGGGGTTCAGGTCCTTATATTTCCTCAATGACCAGTCATTGAAAATAAGCTACCTAATACGATGGCATGACCTTGGGAAAGGCATCCTTTTTCAGCCAAGACAATGTCTGAAGGGGGATTGGTGTCTGAAAAGTGTCTGTAGACAACACTCCCAGGACGAGGGGTAGTGTACCCTTAATTTTTGAAGGTGGATCTGAATGGTGCGACACAGATGGGAATGCAGTTGACTACAGTGTGTAGTAGAGAGTGATAATGTCATAAGTTATGTTATTCAAAAGGATAATAGATCAACATTATTACATGAAAACCTTTGACACTACTAAAATGTTCAATGAGAAGTGACTGATTAGATAAGTGACAAAATAGACAAGAGAGGATTGTGCATCCATGAAATATCATACTCTTAAAAATATTTAAGGAAATGGAAAATAACTATTAAATGGTGCTAAGAAAAAAAAGGGACACGTGATATGAATTGGACAAATGCACACATTCTTTACGAAATTAGATTACTCCCACAGTCATCTAGTTGGTGTTAATGGTAGTCTTTTCTGTTTTTCCAAATCTCGTGTAATGAAAATGTATTTGCTTTGTAATGAAAGGAGTAACTTTTTGGAGGAAGGATACAATAAAGCATAATTTTCTTCCTACATTCAGGTACTTGCACCCAGAAGGATTGCCCTCCGACTACACAATCAGTTTTCTATTCCGGATTCTTCCTGACACTCCACAGGAGCCATTTGCTCTTTGGGAGATTTTAAATAAAAATTTTGACCCATTGGTTGGGGTTATTTTAGACAGTAAGTATATTTATTGAGATCACATTTACACATACATGTATGAATCATGTATGTGGCATGCCATCTTTCCTGTTTGTGTATATTACAGAGTAACTGTAATACATAATCTTATGTGAAAATACTAAACAATGAATTATATAGCAGTTGATTTACCCTTTCTCTCATTCTTTGAACAAGTATTTCTTGAGTTCCTATTTTGTGCCAACACTAGGCCTGGATGCAGTAGTGAGGAAGGTGAAGAGAGAAAAACAATTTTTATTGGGATAGGGAAAACTACAGAATGAAAACTACAGAAAGGTCATTGGAGGGTCAATGGGAGGGGTGGGACCACAGTTCCTTTTTTGGACATAGATGTGATAAATGTGAGATGCATATTTGATATCCCAGAGTGTATGTCAGATTGCATATTTAGAAGGAATTCTGGGATGGAGATACACATTGGAAAGTTGTGTGTCTTTGCTATACAAGCCATAAGACTGGGTGGGATTATCTAGAAAATGAGTCCAGAAAGAGCAGAGAATAGGTCTGGAGGCTGGGAAATGCCAGTGTGTGGAGGTTGGAAAGTTGAGGAAGAGCCAATGAAGGAAGTTTCTTAAACTCGTGCCCTCATGTTCTTGGATGTTGTACATGATGATCACGTAAGCAGATCAAGCTTTTAGTTAATATCACTGAATTTTCTATATCTAGTTTTAGTTTAGGACTCCAGTGAAGCTAGGAACCAAAATTTGGAGGCTGTTGCTAGGTGCTAAGTCAAACATTTGGATAAGGAAACTACTAAGCTTGTTTCCAACTAGTGTTAGTAAAAGGATTCTTCAGTACACAGAAACTAATCAACAACAAAATATGATATTGTGGAAGCATTTCACAATGATATTAAAACTAAGGAAAGGCTGTAGATTGAAAGCGTATACATTACTAACTCTATATATACCTTGGGCTTGAAAACAAATTTTCTCAAAATGATTAATACTAGCTTGCTCCTTTTAAAAACAGAGGAATTAATTTGTATCATAAGAATGCATTTGAAAGAAAATATTCATAACTTTTAAATAATAAAATATTTCTTGCAATAGGAAGAATTTAAGATTAGAAAAGTTTGTGCCTGTGTGGTCATAATAAATGAAATATCTTGGGTGGCATAAGTTGCACATCCTAGGAAAGTTGGTTGCTGCAGCGGGTTAAAAAGACAAAAGGGCTGGTTTCTAGTTGTTAAGATTTGATAAACTTAAAGCAGCTCTGTCTGCCTCTACTCCCAGCTTTGGACAATTTCTCCCAAGAGAGTGATGGGGATGAGAGTCTGGGCAAAAATTACAGAAGAAGAATATGTGTAAGGGTCTTCGCTTCACTGTCAGCACCATGGGGTTAAATCAGTTCATGTAGCCAACTGAAAGTGTGCAGGAACCTGGGGACTGTAGATCACTTCCTTACCCATCACATCGTTCTAAATACAGCATCAAAACAAAAGATGCATTATTATGTTTTGAGTTGAATTTTAGAAAAAAATTCACCTATTTTAATTATTTCTAAAATATTTTTATTTTTCTTTCAATAGATGGTGGGAAAACTCTAACATATTTCAACTATGACCAGAGTGGGGATTTTCAAACTGTTACTTTCGAAGGACCGGAAATTAGGAAAATTTTCTATGGAAGCTTTCACAAGGTTAGTAATGCTTTTATGCATATATTCTTTATTCTGTTTGCTTTTGAACAAAGCTATTGAAAAAAATTCCATAGGGCTTTGGATGTCAAATTCCAACTGGAGTGAGAATTACCTTCGTGCTTGTTAACATATCCAGAGATTCGGATTTGGTAGTTCTGAAAGAGGACCCTGAAATGTACATTTTTTTGCAGGTGTTCCAGAAAATAAGGGGGCCACCTTTCCTCATTGAGGAACAATGTAATTAAGGTTACTGTATTACCAAGTAGACAGTTGCTCATTTGCTGCATCTGTGCCATGTAGAAAAGTTTGCTGGTCTGGCTGGTGCAACTAGCTATCTACCAGTGCAGGTGAAAGCACAGTCAGCTGAATCATCTTAAAATTTGCAGATAGAGATTACTGACTGCACTGATATTTTTACATACATACAAGTATAGCCCATGACTTTCATCATAACAATTACCCTGTGGAAAAATTTTGTAAAATCTAAGTGTACTTGTCATTATTATAATAACTCAGCACTTGTGATAGAACTATGTTCCTTAACATTTGCTTCTCGGAAACACTTCTGTGTTGATGGCTGGGGTGGACATCTACCAACATCTACTGCTTCCTTTGTGTTTGGTGAATAAACCCACTGATCTGTGGTGTTAAGCAGTGTAACACCTACACTGCAGGATGAGCAGAGCATTTACTAGCTGGTGCAGAAAAATGCCTCGCCTCCTAACCAGGCTCTCCCTGCCCTTTTAGAATGAGAGGAGGGAAGCATGCATGGTAATTTTCCTGGCTTCTGTCTCATGGCCTAGAATGCGGTCAAATCAATCGAATTTATGCAACTTTGCTACTTTCTGTGGCTTTGAATGTCATAATTGCATACCACATAATTACGTTAAGAACAATTGCTAAAAAACAAAAAATAAACAAACAAAAACACTATATTTTTCCTGTTTAATAGGACTATACTACCAGAGGAAAAGGTATCTGAAAAGAACATGAGATACAGGTGGAGATTTATTAGTTCATGGCTCAGACTGGTCCCATTAGCAGCTCTTTGGACTTAACATTGTTTACTCAGCAAATTCTCTTGGCATGATTATTTTCTTGGTTATGCAGAGTCTATTGCAAAATAGTAAAAAAAAGAAAATTGCATGGGAGATGAAAAGCATTTGAGATTTCATGAGTGTTAAAAGAAACATTGTCATTTTAGCCCACGGTTTAGGCACGAACTTGTAATTCTCATTCCAAAGAATCCTTTCTAAGTCTTAGGTGAAGGTTAAGTTTTGTTTCCTTACCAGAATAACTCAAGAAGTGAAGTTCATTAAAAATCAATTTAAAATTTATAAACCCTCAAGTTTTTAAAAGTTATGTGAAGAAAGACTTCCCTCCGCTTTACAATGTTCATAAAGCCAAAAAGCCAAATGAGGAAGAAAAAAGGCTTCTCATGTGAGAAAATACTTTATAATAGACCTATTAATAGAACATCTCAATGCAAATTCAATTTGTAGAAATCAAATTCTATTTGTTCATGGACTTATAAGTGAATAAATACTTTACCTTAATTTCTCATTGATTTTCAGTTTTATTTTGTACACTTTGGTTATGAAGTGTGGGCCCAAAGTTTCTTTCAAAAAGTTTTAAATATATAAATGGACACTTAAGTGCAAACAAAGAAACAAAATATCTTTGAAAAATCTTCAGCATCTCCTTTTGTAAAACAAAAACAAGATTTTTAAGCATGTGAATAACTCCCCACAAGTTAACAATTCTTAAGGCAGGGGTATTTGAAGCTAGGTTTTCTAGCACCCAGTATGAAAATATCTGTAATCTGTAATAATGGAAAGTGTTCTAAGGTTCAGAAACACATAAGAATTGAATTAGACTCTAGCAAATGATTGTAACAGAGATGTTAAAAAGAAGCAAGGAATGTGGTGAGGTTTATTCCAACCATGTTTCTATACTTGGGCAATAGTTTATTCCTTTTTGAAGGAAAAGGATTCTTAAGGGTCCCACTGTTGACTTACATTATTTGTATCATGATCTAACTTAAATAAAGCATGAAAGAAAAATTGGTGTAAGTCCATGTTCTTTCAGCTCATATACAACAATGAAACAAAAATGAAGTTGAGCAAAACCAGTAAAATTAAAAGTAACACTGTCTTAATATGAAAGAAGACATTATTTCATTGACATTCAGTTTCTGCTTATAATGTGAATACAGTACTAGCTACTACACCTCCCATAATCTTGATTGTATTGCCCAAGATTGTTTTTTTGTTTTTTGTTTTTTGTTTTTTAACTACCATGATACCATAAACAGGTTTGTAACTTCTTTTGGTTTTTACTTTGGGTGAAACCATAATTTACCTATTAATTTCACCCCATAATCTTGATTGTATTGCCCAAGATAGTTTTTCTTTCAACTACCGTAATACCTTAACAGATTTGTGACTTCTTTTGGCTTTAACTTAGGGTGAAATCATTATTTACCTGTTAATTTCACTCTTTTAGCTCATCAGTCTGCCAGAACAAGTACTGTAGTACTCGTGAGGCTAATACCATCATAAGTTACAATGCATAGATAAGCACTGAAATGTTATGGCAGAACTTGGACATAGTATGGTTATCTAGTTCACCTAGAATATACCACCACTGACTGTCACCTAAATAATAACACAGACTTTTACAAGTCCTCACAAAGAATGTGTAGACTTCTTCTGAAAATATGATCATGGACCTCCAGATTCTTGAGATTCTAGTTTGAGAAAATTGCACTATCTGCTAAGCTAAACGGCTTTATTTTATTTGAACCTGGCGTCACCAGAAAGCATTCCTTCTTTCCTCTCATATTTCTAGATCTTCTTTCCTCATCCTAAATTAAATAAATATTTTTAAAGTGTGGTTTGCCAACCACTTGTAGTACCTTGGATGATTTTTGGTGATATATCAACAAGAATTTTTAATTTTAATATTTTTGTTATTTTTAATGTGCATTCAGAAAAGGCATACCTAGCACAGCAGTCCTGTGATTTCAAAGATGCAATTGCTCTCCAGTTAGGCCAGACTTTGAAAAGTGAATCCTTTCAAAGCCGTTTTAGAAAGAAGTGTTAATTAGAGAAAAACAGCGATGGTACTTGAATGTGGGAAAATCATGGAGATGATAAAGGGTAAATTTTGTCTTCTAGCAAAATACGTGATGACAGAATTCCTTCTCTTCTCTTTCATACTTTGTAATGATGAGTCATACAGTTATTCAAATGTACTTGATATTTCCTTCCGTTTCTTACCTCCTAAAACATCTTACTTTTATCTAGCTACACATTGTTGTCAGTAAGACTTTGGTCGAAATGGTTATTGACTGCAAGCAAGTGGGTGAGAAGGCAATAAACACATCTGCTAATATCACATCAGATGGTGTAGAAGTACTAGGGAAAATGGTTCGATCAAGAGGACCAGGTGGAAACTCTGCCCCGGTAAGTAAATAAATGCATGAAGCTGTGTTATTGTTAAAGGGGAGAAATCCTTTTAAAGTACATTAGCTATTTTCCAGGGGAAATGTTTGACAAAAAGGTGGGTGGATGGATGGATGGATGGATAGATAGATAGATAGATAGATGGATAGATAGTGGCCTCTTTGAATGAATTAAACATGTACATTCAAAGCTTGTGGCAGTAGGCTTCTTCTATGTTATACAGAGTATGCATTAGGAATTAGACTAGTTTATTTTCTAAATGCATTTTAAATGGTAAAATATTTATCACATGGTTTGGGGCATAAATGGTTTTTAGAAAAGAATTACAGCTGTAAATGAACCTCATTTATATAAGCAAATACAAGTCCATACAAAATTAGCAAATATTACACACAGGAAATTGACATAAGCCTCTTATTTGGGTAGATTTGGGCATTTTAAAACTAGTTTTTTGCTATTACTAATATAAAGTTTACCCTTTAATTATTAGTGGTTATTTAAGTAACATACCGTTCTAAGAAAATATATTTTTTATCATACAACATGGAGTTTAAATCTGGGAGAGCTCCAATTGGCAGACACTCCCATCAGTCATTACCCACAAAAAAAAAAGAATAGTGCACACAGTTTTTTTGTGTGTGTTAACACTGTGCATTCACAACTAATTAGCAGCATTCTCTAATTTGAGTCATTCTACAGTTTGTGAGGCATTTTACTCTTGTAAACAATCCTAACTATTCTAATCTATGCTTCTCTTACGTAATAGTACAATCAAGATAATTATCAATTATTATTGTCTCCCACTTTCACAGATCTGTAGAATTAGCCAGTTATACAAGAGCTGGTAGTTCTCAAAGACTTTTTAAGCTGAAGATCACCTTGTAAAAATGAAATCCTATACTATGTCAAATAAATAAAATAGACCCGTGGTTCTAATTCCAGGCACATGTCTGTAGTAACTGCTTGGGAGGCTGAGGCAGGAGAGTCGCTTGAACCTGGGAGGCAGAGGTTGCAGTGATCACGCCACTGCACTCCAGCCTGGGTGACAGAGCGAGACTCCATCTCAAAAAAAAAAAAAAAAAAAAAAAAAAAAAAAAAAAAAAAAAAAAAAAAAAAGGAAACCATTCTAGGTATATGATAATACTATTACTAATATTTTCTTAATTTTAGAAATAACGAATATAAGGTTTCTGAAAGTTAGTAAGCGTTCACTTAAGAACAGCCATTGTTATTGAACAAAGTCAACAACACATTCTCCATTCTCCATCCCACCTTTTTCAGACTCTAGCACTTGATTATTGGTAGTCACACACTATTTTCCTTCTCTTTCATATATCCACATTTCACTTCTCTAATCAGATTATAAATGCCTCAAAATAGAAACCACATCATTGTCTTTGTTTAAAACCACCTTACATCACAGTGTCTGATCAATACTGATGAACAGAGTAAGTTCTCAAGAAACATTTGATAGAAATTAAATAAAATATTGTCTGTTCAAATTGTATTATGTCTTTCCTTAAAATTTTGTCTTGCGTATATTCCATGTGTGATGTTGGCAGTAGTCCAGTAATACATATTATACTCTCTCCAAATTATTTTATAATTATAATTACAATATATTTCACAGTTATAGTTTTGTAATTGTATTTTAAACTACACTGTATGTAATAATTATACTCCAAATAGATGACCAACTAAATATGAATGAATTTCTTTCTGAAAACGAAAGTGCCTGCAGGTTTCAGCCTGCTGATAATCAATCTTTACTTTTGGCCATGAAAGAATTGCAATTAAACAGAGCACTCTCTGTGATTACTTCCAACTACTAGTAGACAAAGGAGAATTATAGAAGTCAATAATTAAAGAGTTCTTTGTAAGGCTAGTAGGAAAAAAGTCATAGCATTTGTTAGAATCTAGAAGTCTACAAAGGATTACTAACTAGATTTTCAGGCTGCCCACTTACTGAAGAATTTGATTATGTTGAAATGAATGTATTAGGTTAGATCTCAAGAATGTGATTGGAAACTCAGACCTGCTTTTTGAGGGGTATTTATTAATCATTTCAGTACAAAATAAGATAAGTCTCAGTTTCAGTTTTAAATTTAGAAATCACAGACTGCCAATCTAATCTTGATATACATTTGTACTCTAATACCTAGAAAAAGGGAATGTGTGTTGTGCAAATTGTGGATTCTAGGAGGAGTAATTATATGAGAGAGATGAGTAATTTATAGTCTCCACTCCCTGCCAAATCCAGCAATTATTCAATAAATGCCAGATGGTGGAAGAGTCTAAAGATTTAGTCTTTAAAGAAAATACATTCTTTCTAAACCATAATTTAGCAGAATATAGATTAATGGATTTAAGGAAACAGTAACTATTCAATAGAAATCACTCATGTTCTTAATAAGATCAGCTGGTGTTCAGCAATGCAATATTCTATAGGCAGTAACAGTCTGTACTGGACTAAACTAACAAGTAGGCTTAATTCATCTGTCTCTATACATGTGGAATGAAACTTAGCAACTGTGCTACTTCTTTCCAATTATTTTTTCCTAAGAAATTTCTCCTGGATTTCTATTACCTAATGAAATGATTCTAGGAAAGTCTTGAGCTTCTGGCATATGATCACATTCCTTAGTGCCTTTCTTCTGCCTTCGCAAATCTAATACTTAGGTAATTATCCAAGTGGCATATATTTAGCTCCCTGCTGTTCAAATAAAAGAGACGTATGAGTTATGCCATGGAGTTGTCTATCATTTTAGCCACGGACTTACAGCTTTTATATAGAAATCAATAGTAGACTAGTTGATGATTCTATAAACATTGTTTGAAAACAAGTGTTAAATTGCTAAAAAAAAAAAAAAAGGATATTTTCACATGAACTATCTATTTTAAGCTTTAAAATTATAATGGTGACTAATAGTTATTACATCCCTGCTGGGAGCTAGGCAGTCTGTACTTTTCTGGGATTATTTCATTTAATTCTGTAATAATACTAGAAAGAGTTACATCTTCGCTACACTGTAGATACAGAAACAGACTTTAAGAAGCTAGGATCAGGTCCCCTTTCAAAAAGTGAGTATAGTGAGATAAGAGACTATATCTGACTCCTAAGTTCATCTGCCTTTCATCCCAGTGCTGCTTCCATTAGGTTGGACTCTGATTGTTACAGGATAAAGCAGAGAAGGGAGTTTGGTCTGTACCAGAGACTGTATGTCCTATCTGTTCATTGACAGGTTCAATTATTTGAATTGCAACCTTGAGAGCAAAGCGATCAAAACTTACCCCCAAGTGTGTCTATACCTAAAAATTCTAATACCAACAAGTGTAATAGCTATTGATTTTTATTTTCTAATTTAATCGGTACCTTGTGGTTTCCCTCGAATTCAATAAATTGATTAGAACCAATTAAAAACACCCAGTTCAATAGTAGACAAGTGGTAAATGTACAATCTTAGTTTTGTGATGGCATAGATAAAAGTTAAACATCAAATTACAAACAGAAAATGGTTTAGTTCCTCAGTACTCTTTCGCCAGTATTCTTGTGCAGTGTAAAGTTCTCTAAATATTTGTATAAGTTCAGATACAGCTTTACTTTAAATTATAAACTTAGTTATAGTATGTTAGAAAAAAAAATCAGAGAATAAAATTTGGCACTGAGTGGAAAGTGGAGCCAGGGGTACATTTTAATTCCCATTCAGAGATCAAAATGACTCAACTGCTGAGAAACATTTTAATGTTATTTTCATGCTAATATTTGACCCCAAGTGACTTGCGTTTTGTGCAAAATCAGACAAAAATGTCTAACAATAAAAAATGAGCATTTGTAATTGGCTAAGTATTCCCTTGAAAGACATGATGAAAAGTGAAAGTAGGTTTTGTCTCTTTTTTTTTTTTTTTTTTTTTTTAAAGATATATCTTTTTTTTTTTTCAGTAGTTATAAAAAAGTTACAAAAGTTAAAAAAAAAAAGGGCTCCTTCTTACATTAGGTCTCTAAAATATTCTTTCTTTTGAGACACATTATCTTGCATTTTTTAGATACTCAAATATGAGATCTTTTGACTTACCATCTTGTACTGTCTCCTGTATAATTTGTACAAATATGCATATTATTGCTTTTGGAATAAAAGCCAGAGGCTTTTTTTTTTTCTCTCTTTTAATCAATCCCCTAAAATGTGCCTTGGAAATAAAAGTCCCTAAATAAGGGCTGAGGAATCTAAACGATTACAAGTGCAAACAATTATGAATAAATTTGTTGTACTCAAAGAAAAAGCTGCTGACGTCATCTAACTTGCAAAAGAAAAGTCAGCCCACGTAACATTCCTGAAATTATAATATTGGTTTGATTCAGCACTTAGTAGGCATTCAACCCCTGAAATAAATAAATTGAGCTCCAGAGAGTCCCAATAACGTCATAAGGCAGAAATCTAGCGAAAGGTTTGTATGTAGACATAAGACTGTTATAGGTGATTAGTTGGTGAATGTTTATTTGAAAAACTTCAAGAAATCTTGATGTATACTGGGGCTAGTGAAAGACCTTTTCTTTAAGTCTTTCCATTCATGAAAATGTTTTTTGCTCTGAGGGCTCTATTCAGAAATGGAAAATTTCTTAATGGATAAATGATTTGCAGACTTAGCTGAATCTATCCAATGCTGTCATAATGGGACCTATTTAATAAATATCCCCAGACAGAATGGCATTGTGAGATTAGATTGGGCTCTCTGCAATTTAAATGTTAGATCAAAGATAGTGCATGCATTTTTAAAATAAACCACAAGAACATGGGGCATGCCATTTAAATCTCAAACAGAACTAACCCTTCAACATGTGGTTACATTATTTAAACTTCTTCATCCCTGGACCTGTTCCACAGAATGGACCTTGCTATGATCATAACCCATAGCAGCGATCTGAAGATTTAATAATATATGCAAAGTACTTAGGATAATGCCTGGCAAATAGTAACATTCATTCTGCAAATGTTTGTTGCTTTTGTTGTTATTTGCTAAGATTTTTCTCAATCAAAACATTTCATAGATATTATTGTGGAAAAAAACTACTATTATATTTCTGTCCACAATACTGTCAGCGCCATTTTGATTCTACTTTTTTGGCCTTTTTATTATATGTACACCTGCCAACTATATTCCAGGCACTGTTCTAAATATTTCCTCTATACTAACTTATTTAATCCTCACAACCGCATGAATACAGATGAGAAAACTAAGTCTCCAAGGCATTAAATAATTTGCTCAAAGTAACTCAGTTTGTCAGTGGAGGAGTCGGGGATGACACCTAGGCAGTCTAACTCCATCATCTCAGAATCCCCATGCTCTTTGAAATATTTGTTATTTTCGTTGTCATTGTTTATAAAAATAAGCTATAATGTATTTTTTCAAATGTTTTAATTTTATTAGGTTGGTGCAAAAGTAATTGCAATTTTTGCCATTACTTTTACACCAACCTAATACAAACTTAATTTTTTACTAGGCATGATATTTTTTTGTTTGGTTGTCCTGCACAGGCTCAGTTATCATACCCTTGGATGGTGGAGGGGAACTTAAACCACCTAGGAAAACGCAGTGAGCCATGCATATGTTTCTGCAGACAGCTCAATAAATGTATATAGGATCAAGAAAATAAGATGCTTTGTCTCATGGATTTGCTTTCAAAATTCAAGGGTTATTTTATTGATCAGTTGAAATGAATGTTTGCAATAAAGCAAGTTACTTGAATATAATGACAGAAAGCCCTATTTTATTTTGTCTGCTGTCAGAACAAGTTCTTTTGTGGTAGTGCATGCAGTTTTAATAACATGTTTCAATAGTTCTATCTACTTGGGCATTATCATTTTTCTAGAAGATGTTTGGCAAAGGAAGGGTAGTACCATCTGGGAAACAGTAAGGAAGGCACCAAGAGCTCCAGCTGAAAACACCACTCGCCAAAAGGGAGATTACAGTTTTAAAATGAAAACAATTTCACCCTTCTCCCAGATCAGTAAGAAAGCACACTCTTACTATTTGAAAATAATGTCGGAAGAAATATAGTAGAAATGATTGGGTCATTAAGCTAGTGTTAGCCCTTAACGATGTTATGATGATGTTTCTGTATATTTCAACATGTACATTGACTTATCACCAACATACGTGAGTGGAGCAAGCCTGTCTAAATATTTATGGCATGATCAATGACTTAAAAATACATATAGCTTACATTCTCACAATACTGAATGTGAAGCTGTCATGACATTTTCCACGTTGTATACAGTATTTGTGTGCTTCTCTCTTACTACAAGTTCTTCTAGGTCAGGACTATGATTTTTTTAAAAAAAGTTTGCATTCTAAAAGTCTACGTCACATCAGACTTACATTATGCACTGAAGAAAAGGTTCCTGAGTGTGTGTACAAAGAAGTGAAGTGAGAATTAATAAGCCTTCCTGAGTGCTTATGATATGCCACATATTGTGATAGGTGACATAAAGATGAGTTTAGTAATGTGAATAATTTATTGTGTAGTGGGAGGTGTGCTATAGAGGAGACATATGGAGTGTTGTGTGATTTCAGAGTCATTTGGGAACAGCTATGATGGGCTTTGCAAGGAAGACTTTAACAGAGGAGCTAAGCTTACTCTTTGGGTAGAAAGGGGAGGGGAAGTTGTGATAAGTAAGAAGGTTTAGATGATGCATGAGTAATTATAGACAAAATCTTAGATCACTGTGTGTTTGAGGAAAAGAATTAGTTTGATATTGTTGGCATTACTTTTTAACTTACTGTAATGCATTATTAATATATTGATATTTTGTTATAGAATACGTAACGTAAAATCATAATTTTATTTTATACATATTTTATTGAATCACAATTTTCTTTTTAAATCATAGTTCCAGTTACAGATGTTTGATATTGTTTGTTCCACGTCATGGGCCAATACAGACAAATGCTGTGAACTTCCAGGCTTGGTAAGCATTCTTCCTTCATTTCTATTGATTCCTTAAACTGTATTTAATCTTCTGGAAATGAGAAGCTATTTCTCCACATTCATATCATAGGCAATTCATTGAGATGATGAAATTAGAGGTTAATAAGGAGGTATGTCTGAAATTAACAAGATTTCTCCTGTGTGACCTAGGATCACATACGGGGTGAACGGCACAACTCAGAGGGTACTATTTACACATAGTTAAGATGTTCCAAAATTCCATTGTCTCATGAAGCCCTTAGTGTCTCAATTTTTTCTTGGCACCACTAAGCCAAAAGAAACACCTTGCAGCTCCAGTTATGAAGTAATAGGTCCAAATATCTTATTAAATATTTATGTCCTAACAACTCAGTAGCCATATATAGTAACAATGTACATACATTGAAAGAAAAAAAAAGATATTTATATTTTATTCTTAAATGACCAAAATTGCTTATTGATGGGATGTGTGTACATACTGAGCCCTGCAGCATATCTTATATGTTGGGATCAGATTGGCCATTGCCATCCTTACTTCTTTTTCTACATTGCTTTTTTTCATAGTACTTGCCTTTCATCATAGCAACTCTCTTTGTAAATTAGGGCATCATCCAAAAAAGGTATTGCAGTCTCGAATATTGAAACTACAAACTACCCTGAGCTTGTCATTCATACAAAGTCCAATGGGTGCCGAATATTGCTGTGCTTCTCTTAAAATTTTAAAACATTCACAAGACCCCTGTGAGTTCAATATAGTGCTCCTGGGTATCTTGATGCATACTTTTAGAACTGTAGTCATAATCTACATGCCCTGTATGTGATGCTACTAGAAAACTAAACATTTAAAAGTTATTTATACCAATTTATGGTATAAATATTTATGTCCTAACAACTCAGTAGCCCATATAAAATACAATACACATCAATTGAAAGAAAAAAAATGATATTTATATTTTATTCTTAAATAACCATGACTTCTTACTGCTGGGATGTGTGTATACTTACATATATGTGTGTGTATGTGTGTGTGTGTGTGTGTATACTTACATATGTATTATGTATATATATGTAAGCTGGCATGGATGACTCTGTCATGGTTGGACAGTAGCCATGTCTTAATAATTAAACCCAGAATTCTCTAGAACATGGGGAGGCCTTCATGAAGTCTGTGAGATTTGACCTTATAACTGTATTAGTTTGTTCTCACATTGCTAATAAAGACATACCCAAGACTGGATAATTTATAAAAGAAGGAGGTTTAGTTGACTCACAGTTCAGCAGGACTGGGGAGGCTTCAGGAAACTTACAACAAAGCAGAAGGGAAGCAAACATGTCCTTCTTCACATGGTGTCAGCAAGGAGAAGTGCAGAATGAAGGTAGGGGAAAAGCCCCTTATAAAACCATCAGATCTTATAAGAACTCACTATCATGAGAACAGCATGGAGGTAACCACCTCTATGATTCGGTACCTGGCTTACATTATGCACCGAAAAAAAAGTTACTGAGTTGAAAAAGTTACTCCACTGGGTCTTGCCCATGGCACATGGAGATTATGGGAACCATAAGAAGATGAGATTTGGGTGGGGACATAGCCAAGCCATATCAGTAAGACTCACTATATCAATAAGCCAAGCCATATCAGTAAGACTTAACACCAGCTCACAACATCTACTGCAAGCACCAAAGTCATGGCAGCCTGTGTTTGAGAAGGAAGCAACTTATTCTTCACCAAGTTTCTAGTAAACTCTGATGAGAAATTCAATCAGAGACACCTCAATGTTATGCTTAAGGGCAGGTAGATTGGAAATTGGCAGGACAAACTCTTGGAATCCTCTATTGTATCAAACAAAGATGTGATCACCAGTTTTTCTATGAAGGACTCTTCTCATTCCTTTTCTCTTTGCTTGTCTCATCGAAGAGGCATAAATTCCATAGTAGGAAGACATGGTGCAGTAATAGTCAGCAGCACTGGCAAAACCATCACTGAATCTCTGGTTACATATGGCCTGTTCTTAGCCTTATTTTGGGATCTTTCAGAATACTAAAGTTTGTGTTTCACTCTAGCTGGCCAGATTTCAGGCCAGATGTGTTCACAGGGGGTTTGAACTGAAATCTTTTACTGTTTTCCAACATTTAGAGAAAAGTATATACACCATGTAACAGGCATTTACTCAACATTTTCTGGCTTTCTGTTGTGAATGTTGTAGAGACTCAGGTTATTTTCAGTTTGGCAATTTAACTGTCATCTGTCCTCTATTTGGCTCTAATTTTATTTTCCCCCAAAGTCTTAAATAATGACTAGTATTTTCTCTATCCAAGGGGACTGACGGATTCCATGAAGTTCTATGGTATCTTATCCCAGTGCTGAGCTCATTTTGGCTGCTGCTCTAAATGGGATATTTATAAATTGTTCAATAGCTGTTAGCAGGTGCTCTGTCTTCCTCTACATTCTAGTAACTCATTCAGATATATTCAGCCTTCCATTAATAATCTATTTTGTAATGTCACATGACAACTATATTCCCTAAGAGAGAAGAAAAATGTTCTCCTATTCCAAAGCCTTAGATCAACGCTGTGATGTTTTTCTTACTTTCAACCACAGAATGTGAGCAGTTGTGGAAATTGTCACAGGGAATTGATAATGAGTTTAAACATAATTTTATTTTGATTTTCTTTGTTTTAGTGTAGATATAGTTGTTTTGATTGAGTACCCCAATAGATTTTCTTTTATCCTTTGAAACAGAGAAAATATAGCATAAAAAGTTTCAAGATCTTTAATTCACAGAGCACTAATACTCCAACAAAATTAAATACTAATCAGGATTTTTTTTTTTTTGTATCCACTTCTGATTGTCTTTTCTCACCTGGATTCCCAAGCTCATTTTAGCAGCAACCATTGATAATAGTGATTATCAGTGACCAGAAGGTACCTATTCATTTTTCTTTACAGAAAAGATTTTGTAATCAGGAGTGGATTCTATGCTTTTCTAATGCACACTTAGAATATCTTAAACTGTTTTCTTTGAGTCAATAAAGCCATTTGTGTAAATTGTCATGCTAATAGTTGTGCTTTTTTTGTTGTTGTTTATTTTCAGAGAGATGATGAGTCTTGTCCAGATCTTCCACATTCCTGCTCCTGTTCTGAAACTAATGAAGTAGCTCTGGGACCAGCAGGCCCACCAGTAAGTCTTGCTGAGTTCAGCCTTAAATGTTCTTTAATAATGTCAATAGTTATCACTTGTGTGTCTAATATGTGTTGTCTACTGTACTAAATGGCTATTACTCACTTAATCGTAGGAGTAAAGTGAGACACAGAGATGTTAGGCAACTTGATTAAAGAACACAGCTTGGAGGAGCTGGGCTTCAAATCCAAGTCTCCATGACTCCTAGAGATGATGCTCCTCACCATTGTGCCATATGGGGTCTTGTACTAGTCTTTACACAAATCTTTCCAATAAGCTACTATGGTTAATTTTCAGTGTGAATACTTCAAACTAGGTCCTTTACTTGTACCTGTGAGAGTTGCATACACCTGCTTTGTCCACTCTCTCTCTCTTTTTAAAATTTACTTTAGGTTCAAGGGTACATGTGAAGGTTTGTTACAAAGATAGGTAAATTCATGTCATGGAGATTTGTTGTACAAATTATTTCATCACCCAACTACCAAGTCTAGTACTCAATAGCTATTTTTCTGCTCCTTTCTGTCCCTCCATCCTCAACCCTCAAGTAGGCCCCAGCATCTGTTGTTCCCTTTCTTGTGTCCATGAGTTCTCACAATTTAGTTCCCACTTAAAAGTGAAAACGTGGTATTTGGTTTTCTTCTTCTGCGTTAGTTTCCTAAGGATAATGGCCTCCAGCTCCATCCATGTTCTTGCAAAAGACAAGATCTTGATCTTTTTTTATAGCTGCATAATATTCCATGATGTGTATGTACCACATTTTCTTTATCTAGTCTGTCACTGGGCATTTAGGTTGATTTCATGCCTTTACTATTGTGAATAGTGCTACAATGAACATTTATGTTCATGTGTCTTTATGATAGAATGATTTATATTCCTTTGAGTATATACCTATTAATGGGATTGCTGGGTTGAATAGTTGTTCTGTTTTTAGCTCTTTGAGGAATTGCCACACCAATTTTCACAATTGTTGAACTAATTTACACTCCCACCAACAGTGTATAAGTGTTCCCTTTTCTTTGCAACCTTGCCAGCATCAGTTATTTTATTTTATTTTTTTTTTACTTTTTAATAATAGGCATTCTGACTGCCGTGAGATGGTATTTCATTGTAATTTTGATTTTTGTTTCTCTCATGATCAGTGATATTGAGCTTTATTTCATATGCGTTTTGGCCACTTGTATGTCTTCTTCTGAAAAGCATTTTGTTTATGTCCTTTGTTCACTTTTTAATTGGGTTGTTTGGGTTTTTTCTTGTGAATTTGTTTAAATTTCTAATAGAGGCTGGATATTAGACTTTTGTCAGATGAACAGATGGCAAAATTTTTCTCTTTTTCTATAGGTTGTCTGTTCACTCTGATGGTAGTTTTTTTTTTTTGATAATTGTCTATTCATGTCATTTACCTGCTTTATAATGGGATTGCTTTTCTTTCTTGCTGATTTGTTTGAGTTCCTTGTAGGTTCTGGATATTAGACCTTTGTCAAATGCATAGTTTGGAAAAATTTTCTTCCATTCCATAGGTTGTCTGTTTACCCTGTTGATAGATACTTTTGCTGTGCAGAAGCTCTTTAGTATAATTAGAGCCCATTTGACAATTTTTGCTTTTGTTTTGATTGCTTTTTGTGTCTTTGTCATTAAATCTTTGCATATGCCTGTGTCCTGAATGGTACTGCCTAGTTTGTCTTCCAGGGTTTTTATAGTTGTGGGTTTTACATATAAGTCTTTAGTCCATCTTGAGTTAGTTTTTGTATGTGGTATAAGGAAGGAGTCCATTTTCAATCTTCTGCATATTGCTAGCCAGTTATCTCAACACCATTTATTGAATAGGGAGTTCTTTCCCTATTGCTTGTTGGTTTTTTGTTTGTTTGTTTGTTTGTTTTTCTTGTACTTTAGGTTCTGGGTTACATGTGCAGATCATGCAGGATTGTTGCATAGGTACATACATGACAAGGTGGTTTGCTGTCTCAACCCTCTGTCACCTATATATTTGGCATTTCTCCCCATGTTATCTCTCCTCACCCCTTGCTGTCCCTCCCCTAGGTCCCCCAACAGACCCCAGTGTGTGATGCTCCCTCCCTGTTTCAATGTGTTTTCATTGTTCAACACCCACCAATGAGTGAGAACATTTGACTTTCCATACTTGTGTCAGTTTGCTGAGAATGATGAAGCAAGTTCTTAACAATCTGCAAAGAGACTTAGACTCCTTCACAATAATATTGGGAAACTTCAACACTCCACTGTCAATATTAGACAGATCGATGAGACAGAAAATTTACAAGGATATCCAGGACTTGAACTCAGATCTGGACCAAGTGGATCTAATTGACATCTATAGAACTCTCCCCGCCAAATCCACAGAATATACATTCTTCTCAGCACCACATCACACCTATCCTAAAATTGACCACGTGATTGGAAGTAAATCACTCCTCAGCAAATCCAAAAGAATGGCAATCACAAACAGTATCTCAGACCACAGTGCAATCAAATTAGAACTCAGGATTGAGAAACTAACTCAGAACCATACAACTTCATGAAAACTGAACAACTGGCTCTTGAATGTTGACTGGATAAACAATGAAATTAAGGCAGAAATAAAGATGTTCTTCAAAACCAATGAGAACAAAGACACAACATACCAGAATCACGGGGACACATTTAAAGCAGTGTCTAGAGGGAAATTTATAGCAATAAATGCCCACATTAGAAGCAAGGAAAGATCCAAAATCGACACCCTGTCATCAAAATTGAAAGAGCTAGAGGAGCAAGATCAAAAAAACTCAAAAGCTAGCAGAAGACAAGAAATAACTAAGATCAGAGCAGAACTGAAGGAGATAGAAACACAAAAACCCTTCAAAAAATTAATAAATCCATGAGCTGATTTTTTGAAAAGATCAACAAAATAGACTGCTAGCCAGATTAATAAAAAAGAAAAGAGAGAAGAATCAAATAGATGCAATAAAAAACAATAAAGGGGATATTGCCACCGATTCCACAGAAATACAAACTACCCTCGGAGATTACTACAGACAACTCTATGCACATAAACCAGTAAACCTGGAAGAAATGGATAAATTCCTGGACACCTGCACCCTCCCAAGCCTAAACCAGGAAGAAATTGAAACCCTGAATAGACCAATAACAAGGGCGGAAGTCAAGGCAGCAATTAATAGCCAACCAATCCAAAAAAGTCCAGGTCTGGGTGGGTTCACAGCCGAATTCTACCAGATGTACAAAGAGGAGCTGGTACCACTCCTTCTGAAGCTATTCCAAACAAAAAGACAGAATCCTTCCCAAATCATTTTATGAGACCAACATCATCCTGATACCAAAACTTGGCAGAGACTCAACAAAAAGGGAAAACTTCAGGCCAATATCCCTGTTGCTCGTTTTTGTCAGCTCTGTTGAAGATCAGATGGTCATAGGTGTGTGATCTTATTTCTGGATTCTCTATTTTATTCCATTGTTCTATGTGTCTGTTCTTGTACCAGTGCCATAATGTTTTGGTTACTAGAGCCCTATAGTATAGTTTGAAGTCAGAGAACATGATGCCACCAGCTTTATTCTTTTTGCTTAGGATTAACTTGATGATTCAGACTCTTTTTTGGTTCCATATGCATTTTAAAATACTTTTTTCTAGTTCTGTAAATAATATTATTGGTAGTTTGATAGGAGTTGCATTGAAACTGTAAATTGCTTTGGGCACTATGGCCATTTTAACAATATTGATATTTCCTATCCAAGAACATGGAATGTTTTTCCGTTTGTTTATGTCATCTCTGATTTCTTTGGGCAGTGTTTTATAATTCTCATTGTAGAGATCTTTCCACCCCTGTTAGCTGTATTCCTAGGTATTTTATGCTTTTTGTGGCAGTTGTGGATGGGATTACATTCTTGATTTGGCTCTTGGCTTGGCTGCTGTTGGTATATAGGGATGTTAGTGATTTTCTTACATTGATTTTGTATCCTGAAACTATACTAAAGTTGTTTGTTAGCTGAAGGAGCTTTTGGACTGAGACAATGGGATTTTCTAGACATAGGATCATGTCCTCTACAAACAGGGATAGTTTGACTCCCTGTCTTCCTATTTGGATGCCCTTTATTTCTTTCTCTTGCCTGATTGCACTGGTCAGGACTTCCAATATATGTTAAATAGGAGTGGTGAGAGAGATCATCCTTATCTTGTGCTGGTTTTCAATAGGGAATACTTCCAGTTTTTGCCCATTCAGTCTGATGTTGGCTGTAGGTTTGTAATACATGGCTTTTATTATTTTAAGATATGTTCTTTTGATCCCTATTTTATTGAGAGTTGTTAGCATGAAGCGATGCTGAATTTTATCAAAAGCCTTTTTTGCATTTATTGAAATAATTACTTTGTTTTTGTCTGTAGTTCTGTTTATGTGACGAATCACATTTATTGATTTGCATATGATGAGCTAACCTGGCATCCTGGGGATGAAGCCTACTTGATTGTGGTGGATTAGCAGCTTTTTGATGTGCTGCTAGATTGTTTGCAAGTATTTTGTTGAGGAATTTTGAATTGATTTTCATTGAGGATATTAGCCTGAAGTTTTATTTTCTCTTGTTGTGTGTCTGCCAGGTTTTGCTATCAGGGTGATGCTCATCTCATAGAATGAGTTGAGGAGGAGTTCTTCCTCTTCAATTTTTTTGGAATAGTTTCAAAAGGAATGTTACCAGCTCTTCTTTCTACATCTGGTAGAATTTGACTGTGAATCCATCTGGTCCTGGGTTTTTTGTTTGTTTCGGGTTGGTAGGCTATTTATTATGGATTCAATTTCAGACCTTGTTATTGGTCTGTTCAGGGAATCAATTTCTTCCTGGTTTAGTCTTGGAAGGGGGTATGTGTCCAGGAATTTATCCATCTCTTCTAGGTTTTCTAGTATGTGTGCATAACATCCCTTTTTTATTTGTATTTATTTGGATCTCCTCTCTTTTCTGCTTTATTAGTCTAGTTGGTGGCTTATCTATCATACTAATTTTTT